TTGAATTGTAAATTCATCTGTATACTTGTTAGATATACGTCAGTATATTTGTCAGTATACTTGTTAGATATATGTCAGTATATTTGATTTGTAAGTATTTTCTTCCATTTTTGAATTATCTTTTCATTTTCTTGAAGAAAATTTCCTTTAAGCACAAAAGTTTAAAATTTTGTAAAATCTATTTTATCTATTTTTTCTTTTGTCACCTGTGCTAGACCATTGCCTAGTCCATGATCACAAATATATTTACTCCTGTGTTTTCTTCTAAGAGTTTTATAATTTTAGCTCTTACATTTAGGTTTTTGATCCATTTTGAGTTAATGTTTATATATGGTGTGAGGTAAAGGTCCAACTTCATTCTTCTGCATGTGGATATCTATTTGGCCCAGTACCATTTGTTGAAAATAAAATTGTATCCTCCACTAAGTTGTCTTGGTATTCTTGTCAAAACAAATTGACTGTAAACATAAAGGTTTATTTCTGGACTCTAAATTCTTAATAGGTCCTTAATCCCTATTCCATGTCTATCATCCTTATGCCAGTATTGTCTTGACTACTGTGGCTTTATAGTAAATTTTGAAATCTGGAAGTGTGAATTCTCTAACTTTATTCCTCTTTTACAACATTATTTTGGCTGTATTGCGTCCCTTGCATTTCTACATGAGATTTAGGATCAGCTTGTCAATTTCTGGGGGAAAATGTTGTCAGCAGAGATTTAATAGAAATTACTTTGAACCTGTAGATAAATTGGGGGAATGCTGCCATCATAACAACTAAATCTTCTGATTCATGAGCATGAGACTTCATGTACTTAGATCCTATTCTTTAATTTCAGCAATGTTTGATAGTTTACAGTATATAAGTCTTGCACATATTTTGTTAAATTCAATCCTAAGAATTTTATTCTTTTTTTTAAAGATTTTATTTATTTATTTGACAGAGAGAGACACAGCGAGAGAGGGAACACAAGTAGGGGAAGTGGGAGAAGCAGGCTTCCTGCGGAGCAGGGAGCCTGATGTGGGGCTCGATCCCAGGACCCTCGGATCATGACCTGAGCCGAAGGCAGATGCTTAACGACTGAGCCACCCAGGCGTCCCGAATTTTATTCTTTTTTAAAAAGAGTATTTATTTATTAGAGAAAGGGAAAAAGGGAGAGAGATAGAGAAGGCATGCACATGAGTGGGGAGAGGGGCAGAGGGAGAGAATCTCAAGTAGACTCCCTGTTGAGCGCAGAACCTGACCTGGGGCTTGATCTCACCACCCATGAGATCATGACCTGAGCCAAAATCATGAGTCTGACACCCAACTGACTGAGCCAGCCACATGCCCCAGAATTTTATTTTTTTTTAATAATATTATAAGTGAAATTGTTTTCTTCTTTTCATTTTTGTATTGTTCATTGCTAGATGTATAGAAATACAATTTACTTTTATAAGTTGATCTTGTATTTTGCAATCTTGTTGAACTTGTTTATTAGTTCTAATAGCTTTTTATGGATTTATTAGGATTTTATATGAACAAGATGATGTCAAATGTGATTAGAGATAACTTTACTTCTTTCCAATCTGGGCACTTTTTATTTCATTTTCTGGACGAATTGATTGGTTTCTCCTTGAGCAGTTTTAGCCAATTATTATTTTTCTAGGTGGTTGTCTTTCATTTCAAAGTTTAAATTTATTATAAAATTGTTCATCATAGTCTGTTATTTAAATCTATGTTCTATCTTTAGTAACAATGGTTCTTTGTTTCATTCCTGATGCTGTTTATAATGACTTCTGCTTTTCTTTCTTACATTCTTTTAAATCTTTTTTTTTTTTTTGAGAGAGAGAGAATGAGAGATAGAGAGCATGAGAGGGAAGAGGGTCAGAGGGGAAGCAGACTCCCTGCTGAGCAGGAAGCCTGATGTGGGACTCGATCCCAGGACTCCAGGATCATGACCTGAGCCGAAGGCAGTCGCTTAACCAACTGAGCCACCCAGGCGCCCTCTTACATTCTTTTATGTATGAGATATATCTTTTTAAAATTCTTTTTAAACTTTATGAAATACAGAATACATGTGGAAAAGCATACAAATAACAAGTACACAGATGGATTTTCAAACTGAATACAGTGGTAAAGTCAGCACCCAGATTTAGAGACAGAATATTATTAGTACCTCAGATATTCCCAACATGCCGTCATCCAGTCACTCCCTGGCACCAAGAGGATAACCCATCTTGATTTCCAAATGCATACATTAGTTAAAATTATGTTTCTACTTTATCTAAATGAAATAATACACTACATACTCCTTTGTGTCTAGCTTCTCTCAGTTGATATTAGCTTGTGATACTCATCCATTTTGTTGTGTGTGGTTGAAGGCCATTTATCCTCACTACTAACTACTCTTCCACTGTGTTAATATACCACAATATGTAAGCTTCCTATTCCTTTTTTTTTTTTAATTTTATTATGTTAGTCACCATACAACACATCATTAGTTTTTGGTGTGGAAGCTTCCTATTCCTAATAGGCATTTGGTACTTTCCCGTTATGGACTATTCTGATTGGATAAACATATGTAGACATTTCTTTTGGGTATATACCTGGGAGCGAAATGACTAGATCCGTAGAGTATGTGTATGCCAGCTTAGGATATATTGCCAAACATATTTCCAAAGTGGTTGTTCTAATTTATGCTCCCATTGGCTATATATAAGAGCTCCGTTGGCTCCAAATCCTCAAAAACTTTTGGTATTTTTTGTCTTTTCATTTTAGCCATTCTAGTGGGCACGTAGATGGAAATGTTTCAATTATTTTTAAATTTGGAGGTTTTCTCACCTACTTTTTAGTGGTGATTTTAAATTAGTTGCATTGTGAACAGAGAATATGTTCTACACAACAGATTGCTACCATTTGTGGCGTGCTTTGTGACCTTGTATATGTGGCTGTTTTCATAGATATGTCATAGATATGACGTTGTTTTCCAGGGGCTCAATGTCTAGTTCTGTATATGTTAGTTGGATTTGAGCTTGTTAATTTTGGCATTTAAATTGTATCCTTACTTTTTCTTATACTTTATCAATTACTTAGAATGTTGTATTAAAAATCTCCCATTCTGACAGTAGATTCAATTCCTCTTTGTATATGTTAATTTATGTTTTCTGTGTATCTGAGACTTGTGTTTTTAGACGCATAGAAGTCTAAAACTGCTCTTTCTTTATCATAAATTAAACCATTTAGTGTTGGTGTCCCTCTTTAAATTTAATGCTTTTTGCTCTAAAGAATATTATGTCTGATATTAAACTAGTTACTTCCTTTTGGTTATCATTTTCTTATTCTATCTCAGGTACATAGAATTGGATTAAAAACTACTTTTAGCTCTTACAAACTCTAGGGACTGGTCCATGCATGTGCCACTTTTATTCATTTAGCTAGTTATTATGAATAATGTAAAAGCATCCATGAAACTACCTCCTAAAACAGAGAAAGGACCTAGACAATATTCCTCATCAAACCATTTGGCTCCCATGCCTTCCCTCATCTGAAGGTAACGGTTACCTTATATGTATAATCTATATTGTTCATTCCTTCCTTTTTTAATAATATCATTTTATTACAGGTGTGTGTATATTCCTTAAGATGCACATTTAATTTTGATTGTTTTTATGGAAAGGGGATTGTGTTGTATATAGTTTTAAGAGCTTATTTTTCTGCTTAATAATAAGTTTTTAAGATTCCTTCATATTTTGCACATCACTGTATTTCTCTCATTTTGATTGTTGTATAATATTCAATCACTCTTTGGTGGGCATTTGGGTTGTTTCCTGGTTTTTGCTATTTGAAAGTACTACTGTCTCTATTTTACATATCTTTTTTTGCACATATGCAAGAGACCAAGTTACTGGGTCCTAGGGCATGTGAAAGTTCACTATTAAAAGATAACTCCAAAGTGCTTTCCCAACTGGGTTCACCAGTTTGGATTCACATCAGATCCTGTCAATTAACTTCATCCCCAGCATTTGGTATTGTCAGACTTTTCATGTAATGTCTCTCTGTGGTCTTTATTTGTATTTCTCTAATTGCTAGTGAACATTGAACATCTTTTCTTATGTTTATTGACTATATGTATTTTCTCATTTGAGAAAGTCTATTTATATCTCTCAAGCATATTTCTATTGAGTTCACTGCGTCTTTTGTTATCTAATTTTAGGAAAGCTTTTATGTGTTCTTGATGTCAATGTTCTCCATGTGGGTGTGTTGCAAAACATCTATTCCTGGTTTTTAATTTGTGTTCTTATATTTTTGAAATTGTCTTTTGATTAGCAGCAGTTTTTCATTTTAATATAGCTAAACTGATTAGTCATTCATAATTAATCATTTATAGTTAATGCTTTCCTATCTTGGTTAAGAAAATTTTTTGCTCCTGAATGCCTGGGTGGCTCAGCCTGTTAAGCGTCTGCCTTTGGCTCAGGTCATGATCCCAGGGTCCTGGGATTGAGTCCCACATTGGGCTTCTTGGTCTACAGGGAGCCTGCTTCTCCCTCTGCCTGCCATTCCCCCTGTTTGTGCTCTGTCTATCTCTTTCTGACAAAAAAAAAAAAAATAGAATCTTAAATAAAAAAAGAAAAAAAATTTTTGCTCCAAAGACTGAAAGATATTCATTCACCTATAGTTTCTACTTAGAGTTTAGAAAATTATTTTTAACACTTAATTCCTTTTATCATCCAGAGTTATTTTTATAATATTATATGGTAGAGATTCAATTTCATTGTTTTCCATAGGAATAACCATTTTTTTTCCTGGCCATTCCCTTACTTTCCCAGTGATCCGACAGGCCAACTCCATCATGCACCACCTCTCCATAAATATATGGATCTGCTTCTGCCCTTTTATTTCATCAGTCGCTTATCTGTTCTTGTATTCATAGCATACTGGCTTGTATTTTAAAAGAATCACTCTGCCTATTATCATATAACTTTCAAGAGATTTGATCATTATTTATTATTTCTGAATTTTAGGTATATTACAGCTAATACTGACACAGAAGAACAGAGTTTTCCAGTCCCTAAGGCATTTAACACACACATAGAGGAATTAAATTTAGATGTCCTTCTTCAGAAGGCTGATAATTTACGTATGAATGAATGTAGCAAGATGGAGAGTTTTGAACTACTTTGTGATCACAAAGAAAAGGTAAGAGATATGAGACAATAATGTTTGTATAGTTTTAATTTTTAATTTAATCTGCTCTCCTATTCATGTTATGACTGTAACATTGCGTTACATACAGTTTATATAAGCTAAATGGTTGATGCAAATTTTTCTATAATCTAACCGAAACTTTTAAAAAGTAAATTATAAGAGTTTATTAGGCTCTAAGATCATGAAAATGAGAACCAGAGGTATGATTATACACATCTATTTTTATTTGATTATTAATTTGCCATATTTGGTATGTACTTTATAACAAAGAATAAGACCTACTCCTGTTGGGGCAGGAAAAGCTACATTTTAAGTTTTCTGTCTTAGAGTTATTAAAATAACAGCCATCAGTTTCAGTGTGTTTCTACTAATGGTCATTTTTCAACATTTAACGTTGGGCTGAATTGAGAAAGCCCATCCCTCCCACTACTACCACCAAAGAGAAAGAAAGAAAGAAGGAAAGAGAGGAAGGGAAGATGGGGAAGGAAGGAGGGAAAGAAGGAGGGAGGGAGGGAGGGAAGGAAGGGAAGGAGGGAAGGGAGGGAGGAAGGAAAGGAGGGAGGGGAGGAAGGGAGGGAGGGGGGAGGGAAGGAAGGGAGGGAGGGAGGGAGGGAGGGAGGGAGAAATTTCTCTGTATCCCAATGAGCAGTAAATCTTTCTTTCCTATGAGCAATTTAAGTCTTAAATCCTTTGTCTGAGGATTTAGCAACTCCAAACATAAGGATTATGATTATATTTGTAGGTAAAAAATGTGACTGCTCTTTTGAGTATATGTGATCTGTAATGCTCGCTGAGGCATTATAATGAAGGTAGGTAACTTAGAAAGGAAAATAAAAAGAGGATACTATAATCCAGGGAAAACTCACAGATTCTGGCACCTATCAGTTCTCTCTTCTATGTTGGTGTAGAGCTAATGTCTGGGTAACACTCCTTAGTTTTAAGATCTAAATGTAACACTATATTAAATCACATTTTGTAGCCACAAAAATTTAATTTAAAATGTATGCACATGAATAGATTCAGTCATCCATAAATATCAGTTCACCTGCCTAATTTTTTAAAAGTTGCAGTGGAAAACATTTATAGTCTGGTCAAGTTGCTGAGTCAATCTAATATATAGTTCTATCTTTTCTTTTCAGTTTAGAGATGAAATAGAGTTTATTTGGCGGTTAGCTCGTGCTTATGGAGACATGTATGAGCTATCTACTAACGCACAAGAAAAGAAACATTATGCTAATATCGGTAAGTATTTTGTAAAGATTCATTATCCTCAAGTGACAATCTATCCTCAAGTGACAATCATTATCTATAATAACCCATTAATGAATTTTAATTAAAGTTAAAGTATCTTAGCTAAAACCAATATGTTTAATCTATTTTAATATATCCTAGTACTGAAAAATATACACAGTCTAAGGACAGAAAGGGTTTTTTAGGACTAAAGTATATATTCTTTAAAAATGAGCATATTAGAATAAGCAACTGAAAAACTCAAATTTCAGATATTAAAGTTTATAAAATCACAGACAAAACATTCAGAGGTAATATTTGAAAAGCAAAAGAGGCAGAGGATAGTTGTCTTCAGCACAATTAAAATAACCCTCCCTGATTCCTGTAAGGTAGAACTTCAGGTGCCACAGAGAAATAGCTACTCAGGGTTCAATGCTTTTTTTCAAAATTCATCTTGATAAAAGAAGATTAGCCTTGAGTCAATCCTCGTTTAGGTTTATTATACTGTCCTCTGTACTTTTTTGCATATTTTTGAAATTTTCCATAGTAACAACAAAAGAATAACAGCCGGAATGTCAAATCTTTTATATATATCTCACCTTGACTCTCACTGAATACCAAAACCCTTTCTTGCAAAAAGCCCCGTAGCTGCCATTTTTCTGAGCTTCAGCATAGTAACCTGACATCAAAACTTCTTTAATTCTTCTTTTATTCCAAACCTCCTCTTTTCCAAGCTTTCTTTCTCTAAGATAGCATAAGGAAGAAACAGCAAAACATAATGATACCACAGATCTCATTCCAGTCTCGTTCACTGTCATTTTTATTTCCAAGAAGGTAGTATCTCCAAACTCCTTGTAATTACATTCCTTCCACTTATAGATTTCCTCGCCCAGTGACTTTTGCACAAAGAGAAAAAGCTGATTTATGTTCATATCTACTGAGAAAAATCACAGGATATCTATGTAAACTGTTTCAACATTCATCCATATTACTTTTTATTTCCCATAGGCACCTGCCCTGCCCTGGGCATTAGAGCTCTTCCTGTGTGTGATAGGAGGTAGAAATGATAGCAAAATCACATATTCTCAGCCTCTACACGAGCCGATGGCTTTGTGGGGAAGCAGTATTATTGAAATAACCATACATATAAAGAAACAGACGGAAATCCATTGTGAGGAAAGGAGAATGCGGGACGTTAAGGGTGATGACAGCAAGGATTTGATGGCAGGGGCTGGGGCTGGGGCTGATGCAGAGAAGGCTTTCCTGGGGGAATTAAGAGTCTCACAGAGGTGAAATTACTGGGGATCTCTATTTTTAAATGGAGTAGAAGTGTAATTGAGTTAACGTATGAGGTGGTAAAAATGGAAAAAGAAATAGGCTGGAGGAAATTGGGGGACAAAAATGGAGCGTAGATTGGAATAGGATCTATTTAAAAAAGAGAGAAACGTTTATGACGTCAAGAAAAAGGAGTGAAAGCCTCAGAGGCATTCATTCATATATTGAAATATATTAAAAAAGAATTCTTTTCCTCTCCATTTAAGAAATATTTATTTGAAATTACCGTGTCCAGGAACAATGTTAAAATGAGGGGTGGAGGGAAGGAGAGAAGGGAGAGAGGAGGGAGGTGAATGTGATTAAGACGATTCTACACCAAGGAACTTGCTAGAAAGATCAACATAGAGACCTCCCATCATACCTCAGGGTTCCGGTAGTAAGTGCTTGGGAAAGGTGATGACAAAAATAGGTTCAAGCTGAGACCAGCGTTGGAGGACACTGGAACTCGGCGTGAGGGAGGAGGAAGTGCGGAATATTATTCCCCATAATAGCATATTTAAAATTCTTTAAAAAAAAAAAAAAGAGCGGAGGTGGGGGTGGCGCCTGGGTGGCTCAGTCAGTTAAGCTTCTGCCTTCGGCTCAGGTCATGATCCCAGGGTCCTGGAATTGAGCCCCACATGGGGCTCCCTGCTCAGCGGGGAGCCTGCTTCTCCCTCTCCCTCTGCCTGCCGCTCTGCCTACTTGTGCTTTCTCTCTGTCAAATAAATAAATAAAATCTTAAAAAAAATAAAAATAAAAAATAAAATTGTTATGCCAGGGGAAGATGTGATCGCTGAGGAGTGCAGAATTCTTTCAGGGTACTCACGCTAGGGTGGAGCGTTATGCAGCAAATCTTTCAAAGTACTCTGATCTTAATTTGTATTCCAAATAAAATATGAATCCTATATCTAAAGGAACATTATTATACTTTCCAGAATTAAATGATCAATACAAGTGCCTCAAATAGACCACAAAGTACAATGTTGTAAAGGAAATAGCTTTCCTTTCAGACTTCTGGTGCATCAGTGAGGCTGTATGCTACCCAGCTCCCTTTTATAGTCTCAGGGTCTTTTATAGACTCTCTATTTTAGGCTCGAGAGCGTGCACCCAAAGCTATTTTTGTTCATTTGGCCAAGTAGCTAAAATATTGATTTTGTTTCTAATATTTAAATGTATATTTAAAATTATGTTTTTCAATCATTTATTTAAAGATTACTCTTTTAATATATGTCTATGATATAATGTCAGTTAGTATTAAAACACTTCACTTTTTTTTGTTATCTTACTAATAGACTCTATGAGCTAATTTATTAATTTATTTTTATATCTTATTTTAGTATGTTAATCACCATACATTACATCATTAGTTTTGTTTTTTTTTAAAGATTTTATTTATTTATTAGAGAGAGAGAATGAGAGATACAGAGCACGAGAAGGAAGAGGGTCAGAGGGAGAAGCAGACTCCCCGCTGAGCGGGGAGCCCGGTGCGGGACTCGATCCCGGGACTCCAGGATCATGACCTGAGCCAAAGGCAGTCGCTTAACCAACTGAGCCACCCAGGCGCCCAAATCATTAGTTTTTGATGGTAGTGTTCCATGATTCATTGTTTGCATATAACACCCAGTACTCCATTCAATATGTGCCCTCTTTAATACCCATCACCAGGCTAACCCATCCCCCCACCCCCCTCCCCTCTAGAACCCTCAGTTTGTTTCTCAGAGTCCATAGTCTCTCATGGTTCATCTCCCCCTCCGATTCCCCTGCTTCATTTTTCCCTTCCTAATATCTTTTTTTTTTTTAACATGTAATGTATTATTTGTTTCAGAGGTACAGGTCTGTGATTCATCAGTCTTTACACAATTCACAGGGCTCACCATAGCACATACCCTCCCCAATGTCTATCACCCAGCCACCCCATCCCTCCCACCTCCCACCACTCCAGCAACCTTCAGTTTGTTTCCTGAGATTAAGAATTCCTCATATCAGTGAAATCATATGATACGTGTCTTTCTCTGATTGACTTCTTTGCTCTTAGCATAATACCTTCTCATTCCATCCACATCATTGCAAACGGCAAGATTTCGGGGTTTTTTGATGGCTGCATAATATTCCAGTGTGTGTGTGTGTGTGTGTGTGTGTGTGTGTGTGTGTGTGTGTGTGTGTATATATATATATATATATCACATCTTCTTTATCCATTCATCTGTTGATGGACATCTTGACCCTTTCCATAGGTTGGATATTGTGGACATTGCTGCTATAAACATTGGGGTGCACGCACCCCTTCAGATCACTACATTTGTATCTTTGGGGTAAATACCCAGTAGAGCAATTGCCGGGTCGTAGGGTAGCTCTATTTTCAACTTTTTGAGGAACCTCCATATTGTTTTCCAGAGTGGCTGCACCAGCTTGCATTCCCACCAACAGTGTAGGAGGGTTCCCCTTTCTCCGCATCCTCGCCAACATCTGTCATTTCCTGACTTGTTAATTTTAGCCATTCTGACTGGTGTGAGGTGGTATCTCATTGAGGTTTTGATTTAGATTTCCCTGATGCCGAGCGATGTTAAGCACTTTTTCACATGTCTGTTGGCCATTTGGATGTCTTCTTTGCAGAAATGTGTGTTCCTATCTTCTGCCCATTTCTTGATTGGATTATTTGTTCTTTGGGTGTTGAGTTCGCTAAGTTCTTTATAGATTTTGGATACTAGCCCTTTATCTGATATGTCATTTGCAAATATCTTCTCCCATTCTGTTAGTTGTCTTTTGGTTTTGTGGACTGTTTCCTTTGCTGTGCAAAAGCTTTTTATCTTGATGAAGTCACAGTAGTTCATTTTTGCCCTTGCTTCCCTTGCCTTTGGTGATATGTCTAGGAAGAAGTTGCTGCGGCTGAGGTCGAAGAGGTTGCTGCCTGTGTTCTCCTCAAGGATTTAGATGGATTCCTGTCTCACATTTAGGTGTTTCATCCATTTTGAGTCTATTCTTGTGTGTGGTGTAAGGAAATGGTCCATTTTCATTCTTCTGCATGTGAATGTCCAATTTTCCCAACACCATTTGTTGAGGAGACTGTCTTTTTTCCATTGGATATTCTTTCCTGCTTTGTCGAAGATTAGTTGACCATAGAGTTGAGGGTCCATTTCTGGGCTCTCTATTCTGTTCCATTGATCTATGTGTCTGTTTTTGTGCCAGTACCATACTGTTTTGATGATGACAGCTTGGTAATAGAGCTTGAAGTCTGGAATTGTGATGCCACCAGCTTTGCTTTGCTTTTCTTTTTCAACATTCCTCTGGCTATTTGGGGTCTTTTCTGGTTCCATACAAATTTTAGGATTATTTGTTCCATTTCTTTGAAAAAAAGTGGATGGTATTTTGATGGGGATTGCATTAAATGTGTAGATTGCTCTAGGTAGCATTGACATCTTCATGATATTTGTTCTTCCAGTCCATGAGCATAGAATGTTTTTCCATTTCTTTGTGTCTTCCTCAATTTCTTTCATGAGTATTTTATAGTTTTCTGAGTACAGAATCTTTGCCTCTTTGGTTAGATTTATTCCTAGGTATCTTATGGTTTTGGGTGCAATTGTAAATGGAATTGACTCTTTAATTTCTCTTTCTTCTGTCTTGTTGTTGGTGTATAGAAGTGCAAGTGATTTCTGTGCATTGATTTGATATCCTACCACTTTACTGAATTTCTGTATGAGTTCTAGCAGTTTTGGGGTGGAGTCTTTTGGGTTTTCCACATAAAGTATCATATCATCTGCAAAGAGTGAGAGTTTGACTTCTCCTTTGCAGATTCGGATGCCTTTTATTTCCTTTTGTTGTCCGGTTGCTGAGGCTAGGACTTCTAGTACTATGTTGAATAGCAGTGGTGATAGTGGACATCCCTGCCGTGTTCCTGACCTTAGGGGGAAAGCTCTCAGTTTTTCCCCATTGAGAGTGATATTCGCTGTGGATTTTTCCTAGATGGCTTTTATGATATTGAGGTATGTACCCTCTATCCCTACACTGTGAAGAGTTTTAATCAAGAAAGGATGCTGTACTTTGTCAAATGCTTTTTCTGCATCTATTGAGAGGATCATATGGTCCTTCTTCTTTCTTTTATTAATGTATCACATTGATTGATTTGTGGATGTTGAACCAACCTTGCAGCCCAGGAATAAATCTCACTTGGTCATGGTGAATAATCCTTTTAATGTACTGTTGTATCCTATTGGCTAGTATTTTGGTGAGAATTTTCACATCCATGTTCATCGGGGATATTGGTCTGTAATTCTCCTTTTTGATGGGGTTTTTGTCTGGTTTGGGGATCAAGGTAATTCTGGCCTCATAAAATGAGTTTGGAAGTTTTCCTTCCATTTCTATTTTTTGGAACAGTTTCAGAAGAGTAGGTATTAATTCTTCTTTAAATGTTTGGTAGAATTCCCCTGGGAAGCCATCTGGCCCTGGGCTCTTGTTTATTGGGAGATTTTTGATGACTGCTTCAATTTCCTTAGTGGTTAGGGTCTGTTCAGGTTTTCTGTTTCTTCCTGGTTCAGTTTTGGCAGTTTACACATCTCTAGGAATGCATCCGTTTCTTCTAGATTATCTAATTGGCTGGCATATAGTTGCTCATAATATGTTCTTATAATTGTTTGTATTTCTTTGGTGTTGGTTGTGATCTCTCCTCTTTCATTCATGATTTTATTTATTTGGGTCGTTTCTCTTTTCTTTTTGATAAGTCTGGCCAGGGTTTTATCAATCTTGTTAATTCTTTCAAAGAACCAGCTCCTACTTGTGTTGATCTGTTCTACTGTTCTTTTGGTTTCTATTTCATTGATTTCTGCTCTGATCTTTATTATTTCTCTTCTCCTGCTGGGCTTAGGCTTTATTTGCTGTTCTTTCTCCAGCTCCTTTAGGTGTAGGGTTAGATTGTGTATTTGAGAGCTTTCTTGTTTCTTGAGAAAGGCTTGTATTGCTATATACTTTCCTCTTAGGACCGCCTTTGCTGCATCCCAAAGATTTTGAACAGTTGTGTTTTCATTTTCATTTGTTTCCGTGAATTTTTTTAATTTTTCTTGAATTTCCTGGTTGACCCATTCATTCTTTAGTAGGATGCTCTTTAGCCTCCATGTATTTGAGTTCTTTCCGACTTTCCTCTTGTGATTGAGTTCTAGTTTCAAAGCATTGTGGTCCAAAAATATGCAGGGAATGATGCCAATCTTTTGGTACCGGTCGGGACCTGATTTGTGACCTAGGGTGTGATCTATTCTGAAGAATGTTCCATGGGCACTAGAGAAGAATGTGTATTCTCTTGCTTTGGGACGGAATGTTCTGAATACATCTGTGAAGTCCATTTGGTCCAGTGTGTCATTTAAAGCCTTTATTTCCTTGTTGATCTTTTGCTTAGATGATCTGTCCATTTCAGTGAGGGGGGTGTTAAGGTCCCCTACTATTATTGTATTGTTGTTGGTGTGTTTCTTTGATTTTGTTATTAATTGGCTTATATAGTTGGCTGCTCCCATGTTAAGGGCATAGATATTTACAATTGTTAGATCTTCTTGTTGGATAGACCCTTTAAGTATGATGTAGTGTCCTTCCTCATCTCTTATTACAGTCTTTGTTTTAAAATCTAATTTGTCTGATATAAAGATTCCCACCCCATCTTTCTTTTGATGTCCATTAGCATGGTAAATTGTTTTCCACACCCTCACTTTCAATCTGGAGGTGTCTTTGGGTCTAAAATGAGTCTCTTGCAGACAGCATATCAGTGGGTCTTTTTTTTTTTATCCAGTCTGATACCCTGTGTCTTTTTGGAGGGCAGTATGAATTTAGTGCCATAAAACATTTCATTTTTTAATTTTTTCCAGTTTAGGTAGATTTCTACACAGGATGGTTCTCTTAATGGATAGAGCTATAAAATACAGAGTGTTCCACCATAACAAATTCACAAATAGAATGGTTTTAGAATAAAAGATCCTTATTTATAAAGATTATCTCAACCACTTATTTAGAAGAGCATTTTGCAGATCACTGGATATTCTCTTCAAGGCAACAACAACAAAAACATGGAGCAGGGTAAAAGGAGATAGTATAAGACAAAGCAGCCCCTTTTTGAAAAGGATGTTCAGAATGTTGTTCAGTTTTGTTGCAAGCATTTTGACTTTTCAGGCCAATAGACAAAGCTCTATCTAAAGTAATTATGACCTTATGAAAAGTTATCCTAAAACTAAAGGAAATGATTTGGGATGATTATTTATGTACAGAGCCTGTTCATTGTTGTGCATGATTAGGTAGGCACTTCTCTGGGAAGCCTTCCCTTTAGATGGACTTAGTTACTCTGTTCTCTGCCTTGCTCTCTCTTTCTCCTTGCTTTTAGTTTTTGCATGCATTTTGTTTGCTTCTATACCTGCTTTCTACTGAAATGTGAACCCTTGGAAGTCAAAAACTGTATCTTAATTTGACTTTTTATTCCCAGAGGTTATGATGTGGCACTTAGACGGCACGCAGTAAATGTTGGTTAATTACAGAACAGTCTTTATTAAAGCTTTCAAATAATGATTGAATGACTTTTCCTGCACTTGGTTACATGACTTAATCCAGTGAGCTTAAAACTTGAGCATACAGCAGAATCTCTAGAGGCTAGTTAAAACAGGTTGTTTAGCCCAGACTTTGTTAGGGAATGGGTCTCCCTTGTAGCTCCATATTTGCTTTTCTAACAAGTTCCCAGGTGATGCTTCTGGTTTTGGGACCATATTTTGGGAACCACTGACTTAATTCAATAATTCAGCTCCCACCAACTTGCATGAAGGTACTAAATGTAAGAACATTTTTCTTTCAGGGAAGACGTTAGGGGAAAGAGCAATCACTACAGCACCCACAAATGGATATTGTCATCTGTGGTAAGTACATAGAACTTATGCAATCTTTTTAAATTCTCATATACCTCTGTATAAGTTACAATTGATTTTTAAGATATTACTGACTCATTTTACCTGTCACATTCACTGGAAAATATATTTAGTAGATAGCACAGTAACTGTTCTTATTCTTATGTATTTTGTGGTATGTACATTTTAAATATATTCAAAGTAAACTTTCACTGAAAATTTCGTAAGTGAATCTACCAAGTGCAGTGCCTTTGAACATGATAAATACTAATTAAATATAATTTAATGTTTTGTTTGGAAACAAATACTGAAGTGATATCATGTTCCTAAATGAAATGTTGGAAGAATGCTTCAAAGAATAAAAGCATGTCACTCATTTCTTATACCTTAATGAGTCCATGTGTACAAATTCTACAGGTCAAAGAGAAGCCACTTTTAATATAAGAAAGCTCAAACAAAGGGAATTTAATTCGTGGGGTAGGTGAATACCCTTAGGGAAACAAAATTATTCTTGAATATGTTTTGTTTTGGATCCTTTGTATGTTTAAAATTATAAAAACACAAATAAGAAGAAATATATTGTTTTAAATTAACACTCTGTGGTTGCGTTTTTTTTAAAGATTTTATTTATTTATTTAAGAGAAAGAGAGCATAAGCAGGGTGAGGGGCAGAGGGAGAAGCAGACTGCCCGCTGAGCAGGAAGCCCAGTGCAGGGATCATCACAACCTGAGCCAAAAGCAGACACTTAACCAACCGAGCCACCCAGGCGCCCCTGTGGTTGCATTTTTACAACATCTTTTAGTTCCTTACAGCAATACTGGTACTTTAGGTGCTAGGAAGATAATAATAAGTTAATTTGTGACCCTTCTCTCAGACCTAGGCTTCCAGAAATCTACCTCTATTCGGGATTATTTTTATTCTTCTGAAGCACTTTTAGGCAAAAGTCTCTCTCAAAATGGCTCCCTTTCTGCAAGTCCGCGTTTGCCCCACAGGAAATTCATTTTCATTCCACCAGCTAACTCTGAAATGCAAACCATTTTCCCAAAGCAGACCTGTTTCTTTACTCTGCCACCAGCAGGGGGAGCTCCACTCACACGCTCATCTTAAAGCCTCTCTGGTTCAGAGTCAAGGAACATTTTTTATGTCCCCTAAGGGACACGGGCCAAAACAAATCAAGTCTTTTGATCTGCCCTCACTTGGCTTAAGATGAAGCTCAAGCCTCCCTCCTGCACCCTCCCATGAGAAGGTGGGAGGTAGAACCCACAGTCCCCTAACAATGCTATCCACAGGAATCCTTTACTTTCCCTTCTGTAGCCTGGAGAAGGGTGAAGGGCTGAGCCTGGCAGAACCTGTGAATCATTTCCTTAGCATGTCATGCACTGTCAATAGAGCATCTTGCTTTAGAAACTGGAGCACCTAATAAAGTATTGTTCTATGCCCTTGGTACCTCTGCCACAACTCTAGGAGAAAGACAGTTTTGCAGTTAACATCCTGGTACATATCTTTAAGATCCTTTTCCCAGTATGCAAGGGTCTTGGCTATTATTTCTATAGCCAAATATACCTTCTAATCTAATTTGCACATTAGTATTAATAAATTAACATATGTATGCATTAAGATACTTCTGTTCTTCCACTTTTAGTCGTAACTAATGAATTTGTACTGATAAGCCACTCGCTCTTCATCTCCTTTGATACTGGAGGTGTTTGGGAGCTGGTTGGCCAGGTTTAGACGCAGAAAGAACCCCCAAGCCCTACTCTTAACCTGAGCTCCTGTGCATCCTCCCCCTCCCGCTGCACTGCTCCTCCTGTGTTGTCCTCTTTCTTCTCCCACACATAGATCTGCATCCCTGAAGAATCACGTTTAAAATGTACAGTGGAGGGGCGTCTGGGTGGCTCAGTCGTTAAGCTTCTGCCTTCCCCTCCGGTCATGATCGCAGGGTCCTGGGATCGAGCCCCGCATCGGGCTCCCTGCTCCGCTGGAAGCCTGCTTCTCCCTCTCCCACTCCCCCTGCTTGTGTTCCCTCTCTTGCTGTGTCTCTCTCTGTCAAAAAAATAAATAAAATCTTTAAAAAAATAAAATGTACAGTGGATTTCAATCCTTAGTCTGAGGGCATTTATCTGTGTAAGCTTCAAGTTTTCATAGAGGAACAATGTTGTGTCTTCTCTGGGGGCTTCATAAGTACCTTGAAATCTATCTTGTAAGAAGAAATTATACATAACTCTGCCTTAGTAGGCTACCCAGTCTGTCGTACGCTAGTCTGGCTACTTTTCTTTTGTTCATCTTCTTTCACTTTTTGTGGTGAACGGATTGCCTTGTTTATAACTATGGTATTTGACTCCAACTTTAAATCTTATACACACACACACACACACACACACACACAGAGTAATGATCCAATTGTGTTGCACATGATTTCTTATTCAGTATCAGTTTTAAATTAAAAAAGAATGTTAAAATCTATTCAGTTGATAAAATTTAATAAATTCAAATGTCAATTTTATCTTAGTTCTTAGAATGTATTATAATGTATGTAGTGAATACCAGAGTTTTCATTCAGTTACATAGTGGAGGTTTAGGGTAATGATAAAAGAGAAATTAAAACTTTGAGAGGCAGTGGTTAAAATTTAGCTTAACTGATTCCATGATTAATTGTAGTAAAATATCATTAAAAAGTCTTTTTCAGGATGTTAAGACATTTTCTCATTCATTCAGCATAAATGACAAACTACAGCCCAGGGCCAACTGCCTATTTTTGTAAATAGTTTGATTGGTGCCCAGCCACACCTGTGCATTTGTGCATAGCAATGAGGTTGAATAGTTGCAACCTTGACTATCTGACCCCAAAGCCTAAAATGTTTGCTACAAATTCTGTTGTTTTTGTTGTACCCAGCCTAAAATACTTCTAGAACCAAGAGAGTAAAGTCACTGTGGATTTACAGTTTGTTAGCACAATAGGCCTGACCTTAATTACAAATAATGTCTTACATATTTGTTGTGCTCTACTGTTCACAAATTATATCCACATGCCTTACAGCACATGAGTCACAGAACAACCTGTTTCCATTTTATAGATAAGGTAGTGTGTCTAGGGAGTGTGTGGGGGGAATATGCTGACTAGTATGCAAGAGTCACACAATAAATAGAAAAACAAAAACCAGACCTTTTATTCTTACTCAGTATTTTTCTATTACATTATTTTTCTACTGCTTTCTCACAGTATAAATAGCATTTGTGCTGAATCAGAAGTATGCAGGGAAACTGATGGGTTTATTTTAGTAGTTGTTAAAACAAGAATGTTGGTCATTTATTAAAGATATATTCAATATCGGGACACCTGGGTGGCTCAGTCGTTAAGCCTCTGCCTTCAGCTCAGGTCATGATCCCAGGGTCCTGGAATCGAGTCCCACATCGGGCTCCCTGCTCGGCAGGAAGCCTGCTTCTCCCTCTCCCACTCCCCCTGCTTGTGTTCCTGCTCTCGTTGTCTCTCTCTGTCAAATAAATAAAATCTTTAAAAAAAAAAAAGATATATTCAATATCAATGCAAAGAACATCGCAATTTTTGTCAAAGCCTGTATGGTGAGAATGACCTCTAGGTGGAGGTAATAGACCGTATTGTGAATTAACGTTCTTCAGAGTTCCCGTCAACTTGAGATGGTTCACAAAATAAAATTTTAAATTACTTGTTTAAAGATGAACAGCATAAAAGAACAAAAACCCACAGACACACAGAGACATAAGTGGAACTGATTGCCAGAAAAGAAGTGATGATCCTTTGAGAAAAAGTGGTCAGATGAATTTTGAACTTAGGGTATGTAGGAAGATAGACAATATTTTAGACTTTAAAGAAACAGACTTAAAGGGGTGCCTGGGTGGCTCAGTTGGTTAAGCATCCGATTCTTGATCTCAGCTCAGAGAAAAAAAAAAGAAAGAAACAGACTTCAAAAAAGATTATGAAAAGCATTAAGACTGATTATTTATAAGGGAAATACTCATATTTCATATGATGGTATTCATAAGTCCTAGGGGTTTTTTTCCCCTTTTGTCCTCACTCAGAGTAGCTTGAAGAGAGTTTGCTGACAGAGCAGTGTCCATGTCTAACGCTGCGCACGAAGTCATTCTGATGCTGACGTTTAGCATCAGTAGATGATGGATCCCACCGCTCTAGAGCAGCGAACAAACGTTCTTTTATTTTGATTCCAGCACAGATATTTGGGTCGTTCTGTAAATCTCTGGATTAGAAAGTTCAAATAGATCTGACAGATTTTTCTAAAAATGTGACATGATTTGTTTTTTTATTTCTTTGCCAGCATGTAGAGTAGGGAAATTGAGCGAGTATATCTGGACTTAAGCAAGGCATTCATGTACGTTTACCAGTAACATTCTTGTGGACAAGATGTAAAAATGTGGGCAAGCCTCTGGGTTAGCCACATAGAGAGAAGGGTTCAAGCCTCAGCTATTCAACAGAATAACTGTTGGCAACATCATTGTCAAGCTGGAGGTGATTCTGGGGTTTCAGGTCTGTATCTTAGACACTAGAGTGTTCCGTGATTTTGTCAGTGGGTAAATATATAATAGATACGTTTATAAAAGTTGCAAGTAACAGAGAACTAAGAGGAAGAGGATGTATGACGAATGACAATAGTAATTCAAAAGATTTTCACATGTGTGAATTAATAGGGGGTAAATGTGGAAGGAGGGATGGAGAGAAAAGTGTCAACATTTAACTTAGGGAAAAACAGACAAGAATTTGAATAAAGCATGGAGTTTAGTTAATAATAATGTATCAATATTGGTACATTGTAAAAATTATGTATCAGTATTGTTTGACAGTGTCGGTACCCTTGTGATAAATGTACTCTAGTAATGTAAGATGTAAAGAGTAGAGAAAACCCAATATGGGTATATGGGAACTCTCTGTACCATCTTTGCAATCTCAGACTATTTTAAAATAAAAGCTTATTTTTTTAAAAAGCGGCCTAAGGATGTAAGTCCAAATGCGTCGGAAACTGATAATGCCCATAAACAAAAATGGGAGAAGTTGGGGAAGTAGTTGCATGGAATTTTGCTCTACTTTCTGGAACTCCCCGGGAGGAATGATAGAACAAGATGACAGAGAGCATTTCAAAAGAACATGGTGAGGCTGGAGGTGACAATAGCAGCTTTACAAGGAAACTCATGAGTCTTTTTCCGGTAATCTTTTCCTACATGCTCGATCTCTGGTGGGTGCAGAGATGTATGTGTAATGTAGTCTGATTATGGAATTTGTGAGTAGTAGTATCTCTTAATCTAGTTAAGTTCTCAGATCAATTTTGATAGGCTGATTTAGTCACCATTCATGTTTCTACTGTAGCAGATTTGGTTAATTATATAGAAACTGAAAATTCAGAGGTCAAACAAGTCATAACTGAAAAGTGACTATTTTATTGGTTGCCGTAAGTTGTGTGAATTATGTGATCTTTTGTGTTCAGGAAGGGTCTTACTGTTCCAAATTAAGAAAATCGTTGACTTCATTTTTGTGCTTGAAAGTTATGCTTATCCACAGAAATGATTGAGATAAATATCCAAAATTACATCTTTCATTTCAGTCATGATAATGCAAGTAAAAATTAATACTTACTCTTGAAATATTTAGGTAAATGAATATTTTGCCTCAGAAACACTCTGAAATACTCTGGAGATTTTGCACAGATAGAAACATTCTGGATATAAAAAGTAATATATCCCCAGATTTTGGAGAGAGCAAATTGCTGAACAAATATTGCACCCAATTTATGTTAGATAATTATTGATGTAACTTTTGTATTCCCAGTGGGGGAAAAAAAGTAAACAATGGGATGCGCTATTCTAGTATGCAGTGTTTCCAAGGAAGGATTGAAGGTCATGGGGAATTTTTTGGAAAAGTGTATTCTGAAATTACCTTTGACATTGTTTTAGTCATGATATTTATTTTTGTTTTCTAATGACATTAAGGGAGGCTGTGAAATTTTTCTTTTTCTTTTTATTAAGGAGGAACAGGGATATTGATGATACAATATATTTTTCAATTTATTACTTGTGTGACTAGACTTTTTCAGAGAGCCTCTTTGTGACTTTGCTGTTGATGATGGTGATAGCAGAGGCTCATATTTCTTGGAACTCACTATGTGCCGGGTAGTAGTCTAAACAATTATGTGTTTTGGGTGTTTTGCCCTCACGACATACCTATGAGATAGTTGGTGTTAGTCTCCCCAGTTATAGGTGAGGAAACTGGCTTCATGTTCATGTGAGGTATTTTTTATTTTTAGGGCACTTGCATCTATATGACTACTTCTCTCAAATATTAATGAATGCTTTAGAGATATTTTTAAAATGTTACATTTGGGGGCACCTGGGTGGCTCAGTCATTAAGCGTCTGCCTTCGGCTCAGGTCATGATCCCAGGGTCCTGGGATCAAGCCCAGCATCGGGCTCCCTGCTCGACGGGAAGCCTGCTTCTCCCTCTCCCACTCCCCTTGCTTGTGTTCCCTCTCTCACTGTCTCTGTCTCAGTCAAATAAATAAATAAAATCTTTTAAAAAAATAAAATAAAATATTACATTTGGTGGTATTTGATTAAAAGTTCACACGCTATCCACTGTTTTTACCCTTTTCAGGTATGCGGTTTTGTGTGGCTATGTATCTGAGTTTGAGGGCTTACAAAACAAAATCAACTATGGACATCGCTTCAAGGTATTTCTTGATATTAAAAATATTTTAATGTAGCTATATGTTCCCTTAAAAGATATAAATCAAATTATTCAACGAATTAATCTTAAGGAATTTATCTTTTTTATTTAAATGAAGTGACAGTTTTTTCATCATACTGCGCAAAAAAGAATGAAACTATTTGGGAGATTGAGGATTATTATTATCCTGGATCTTGAAAGAAGTCACATAGTAGATGAGTATTACTTTTTCAAAGACTGAGGATTAGTCTTTTGGTCGAACTCACCAACATCATCAACATGACTGGGACTAATTAGTTAACGTTTCTTGCATATTGATTTAGTGGGAGGAATAGAATCCAATCTAAGGCTTAAACTTAACATGATAAGTGAATAAAATAAATAATGTACATGTACATCATTTATAATGTGCCTCTAGCTTTGATAGCTCCATATAAATGGTCAGAGTTTGTCTTCCAGCTCCCTATAACCATTATAATAATGTCAGGGGAGTAGATTCCTCCACCACCTAGCTCTGTTATTCTTTCCCCCATTATATCCCCATCATTTGATATTTGCAAACATGCTTCCTAATAGTAAGTATTAGCTAGGCAAGGAATGGGAAGACAAAAATGTCACTTGGATGTTTTCTATTTTTATAGTGACATTTGGCTTTAAATTATCCATAGTTTAATTAAATCATAGTCACAGTCTGGTTCTAGTTGTGAGCAGTCATTCCTGATAATTGAATTGTTGGTAAGACTTACTTGTATTAATGATAGGGATTGAGGAGGAGAACCAAACAACACTGTAAAGCCCCTTTGAATTTACTAGGCACACTTCTATGCAACACCACCTGAAATCTGAGTGATGGTATTTGTTTTGGATTTTTTTTTCAGGAACATCTAGATAAAGCAATCCAATTTTTACCTGAAGAACCCTTTTTGTATTACCTCAAAGGAAGATACTGTTATACTGTAAGTTGAATGTTTTGATCTATAAATCTTATTTAAATATACTATGATTATGGGATATATTTCCAGTGACTTATTCTTTAAGTGTTTTACCTAGTGCCTACTGTAAGGAAAATGATAAAATCAGTACATATTTTATGAGTTTATGATTGATTTGTTTATATACTGTGTTACATACAGTATATGATTACACACACACACACACACACACACACACACACACACACACACACACACCTGTATTTTTCCCCTGACCACTCTCTGTTTCCCCTGGCAGCAATCACATGTCCCCTTTGTGCTCTCAGTTGGTGATCAGCCACCTACCCACATGTGTACTACTCTTTGTCTTGTGAGAGGACTTTTTCAATTATCAGTGTGTTGAGCATAAATTATGTGCCCACTGTTCTTGTCTTCAAAGAACTGAATTTAGAAAGGCACATGAAACATACAGAAATAAATCAAGGCAGCTAGCGAGTCTAAGATCCAGTGTCTTAAATGACATTAGTTTATAGAGAATTAACAGAATGTGAAAATCTACCTTAAGAGATGCATGAAAAATTATGCTGAAGAGAAATGCTATTTCTGAATGAGAAAATTAGCATAAGCAAAAGAAGAAGCTTTTTAATGGAGGTTTGAGGATTAGGAATGGAGAAGGAAGCTCTTTTATTGAACACCTGCTATGTATCAAATGTGTGTCAAATCCTTAAAACATCCCTGTAAGCAGTTTTTATTATGCCAGTTTTAAATATTAAGAATCTGAGTCTTCATTAAGGTAGAAGACCCCTCAGGCTTCAAAACCATTGACCCAACCTCACATGAGTCTGGGGCTTAAATATACATTGTTTAGGCTTAAAAGAAAAAATCTGAAAAGACCACATCTATATGGAGGTTAAATAACATGCTACTAAACAGTGAATGGATCAACCAAGAAATCAAAGAAGAAATAAAAAAATACATGGAGACAAATGAAGATGAAAACACAATGATCCAAAATCTTTGAGACGCAGCAAAAATGATTCTAAGAGGGAAGTGTATAGCAACACAGGCCTACCTCCAGAAGCAAGAAAACTCTCAAACAACTGAAGCTTACACCTAAAAGAGCTAGAAAAAAGAAGAACAAAACCCAAATACAGCAGAAGGAAGGAAATAATGATTAGAGCAGAAATAAAGGATATTGAGACTAAAAAAAAAAAAAAATAGAATGGATCAATGAAATCATGGATTGTTTCTTTGAACAGATAAACAAAATTGATAAATCTCTAGCCAGACTCATCCAAAAAAAAAAAAAAGGACTCAAATAAACAAAATCAGAAAAAAAGAGGAGAAATAACAGCTGACCCCACAGAAAGACAAAGAATTATAAGAGAATATTGTGAAAAATTATATGCCAACAAACTGGACAACCTAGAAGAGATGGATAAATTCCTAGAAACATAAAACTTACCGAAACTGAAACAGGAAGAAATAGAAAATTTGAACAGACCAATTACCAGCAATGAAATTGAATCAGTAATCAAAAAACTCCCAACAAAAAAGTCCAGATGTCTTCACAGGTGAATTCTATCATATATTTAAAGACGAGCTAATACCTGTTCTTCTCAAACTTTTCTAAAAAATAGCATAGGAAGGAAAACTTCCCAGTTCGTTCTAATAGGTCAGCATTATCGTGATTCCAAAACCCAGTTAAAGACACAACAACAAAAAAGAACTACAGGCCAATATCTCTGATGAACATAGATGCAAAAGTCCGCAACAAAATATTAGCAAGGCTAATCCAACAATACATTCAAAAAATCATTCACCATGATCAATGGAATTTATTCCTGGAATGCAAGGTGGTTCAGTATTTGCAAATCAATCAGTGTGATACATCACATTATAAAGAGAAAGGATAAAAACCATATGATCATTTCAATAGATGCAGTAAAAGCATTTGACAGAGTACAACATCCATTCATGATAAAAACCCTCAACAAAGTTGGTTTAGAGGGAGCATACCTCAACATAATAAAGGCCTTATATGAAAAATCCACAGCTAATGTTTTATACTCAATGGTGAAAAACAGAGCTTTTCCCCTAAGATCAGGAACAAGACAGGGATGCCCATTCTCACTACCTTTATTCAACATAGTACTGTAAGTCCTAGTCACAGCAACCAGATAAGGGGAAGAAATAAAAGACTTCCAAATTGGTAAGGAAGAAGTAAAAAATTTCACTATTCACAGATGAGATGATACTATATATAGAAAACCCTAAGGACTCCACCAAAAAACTACTAAAACTCATAAATGAGTTGTATCACAGGATACAAAATTGTATCACAGGATACAAAATCCCCATGTACAGAAATCTGTTGCATTTCTAAAAAGCAGAAAGAGAAATTAAGAAAACAATCCCATTTATAATCATAAAAATAATAAAATACCTAAGAATAAACTTAACCAAAGAGGTAAAAAGACCTGTACTCTGAAAACTATAAAAAATTGATGAAAGAAATTAAAGATGACCCAAAGAAATAGGAAGACATTCCATGCTTATAGATTTAAAGAACAAATACTGTCAAACTGTCTATACTACCCAAAGCAATCTATAGACTTAATGCAATCCCTAGCAAAGCACCAACAGTATTTTTCACAAAACTAGAACAAACAATCCTAAAATTTGTATGGAACCACCCAAATAGCCAAAGCAATCTTGAAAAAGGAAAACAAAATTGGCAGTATCACAATTCCAGGTTTCAAGTTATATTACAAAGCTGTATTAATCAAAACAGTATGTTACTCACACAAAAAATAGATGCGTAGATCAATAGAACAGAATAGAAAGCCCAGAAGCAAACCCACAGTTACTTGGTCAATTAATCTTCAACAAAGGAGACAAGAATATACAATGGGAAAAAGATAGTCTCTTCAACAAATGATATTGGGAAAACTGAACAGCTATATGCAAAAGAATGAAACTGGACCACTTTCTTACATCATATACCACAAAAACTCAAAATGGACTAAAGACCTAAATGTGAGGCCTGAAACCATAAAAATCCTAGCGGGGAGCACAGATAGTAATTTCTCTGACATTGGTCATAACAATATCTTTCTAGATGTGTCTCCTGAGGCAAAGAAAACAGAAGCAAAAATAAACTATTGGGTCTACATCAAAATAAAAAGGTTCTGCATAGGGAAGGAAACAACCAACAAAACTAAAAGACAATCTACTGAATGGGGAAGGTATTTGCAAATAACATATCCAATAAAGGGTTCATGTCTAAAATACATAAAGAACTGATACAACCCAACACTCAAAACCAAATAATCCAATTTAAAATGAGCAGAAGACATGAACAGACATGTCTCCAAAGAAGAAATACAGATGGCCAGGGGCGCCTGGGTGGCTCAGTCATTAAGCATCTGCCTTCGGCTCAGGTAATGGTCCCGGGGCCCTGGGATCAAGCCCCACATTGGGCTCCCTGTGCAGTGAGGAGCCTGCTTCTCCCTCTCCCACTCCCCCTGCTTGTGCTCCTCTTCTCGCTATCTCTCTGTCAAATAAGTAAATAAAATCTTAAAAAAAAGAAGAAGAAATACAGATGGACAACAGACACATTTGGAAAGATGCTCAACATCACTCATCATCAGGGAAATACAAATCAAAATCACAATGAGATAGCTCATCTCTCATTGTGAGATATCTCACATCTATTAGAATGGCTAAAATCAAAAACACAAGAAATAACAAGTGTTGGCGAGGATGTAGAGAAGTAGGTGCCCTCATGCACTATTGGTGGGAATGCAAACTGGTGCAGACACTGTGAAGATAGTACAGAGGTTCCTCAAAAAATTAAAAATAGAACTACCCTATGATCCAGTAATTGCACTACTAAGTACCCAAAGAATACAAAAACTTTAATTCAAAGGGATACATGCACCTCAATGTTTATTGTAGTGTATTTTCAATAGCCAAATTATGGAAGCTACCTAAGTGTCCATCAATAGATGAATAAAGAAGTGATATATTATACCACATAATGGAATATTTTTCAACCATAAAAAAGAATGAAATTTTGCTATTTGCAGCAACATGGATGGACCTAGACTATAATGCTAAGTGAAATAAATCAGAGAAAGACAAATACCATATGATTTCACTCATAGATGGAATTTAAGAAACAAAACAAAACAAATGAACAAGGGAACTAAAAAGAGACAAACCAAAAAGCAGACTCTTAACTACAGAGAATAAATAGATAGTTTTCAGAGGTGAGGTGGGTGAATTAGATGGAGGGGATGAAGAGTACACTTCTCTTGTAGAGCACTGAGTAATATATGGAATTGTTGAGTCACTATATCGTACACCTGAAAAGAATAAAACACTGTATGTTAACTATACTGGTATTAAAATGGGGGGAAAAGGAAGCAAAAAAATAAATGATAATATGAAATTTAATTTTGGTGGTTGCTGGTTAAAAAAATTTTCTCCTGGATTGTAAATATGTATACTGGGCCCTCACTTTATACTCCCTCTGGGTTAAGGATCCTTCTTCTATTTACACTTCTGAGATGCTGTGTTCTGGGTAAGGTTGGCAGGAAGGAAGCAAAGTTGGGGTCTCCTCCACTCTGTGCAAAGAAACTCTGTGCAAAGAAATACTGTGTGGTCATCTCAGAATCTTGAATCACATAAACAAACAGGATCAGTATTATTCCCCATCCCTTTCTGTGATTGAACACAAATCTTATCATGAGTATTTCAAATTGATTTGGTAATCAGTGCTTTTAGAGCTCATAGTTTGTTAGAACTATAAAAAAGGGAAGGTAAAATATTAATACCATAAAGATGATCTCTGTCATGTATGTTATATATGGATATGTTTATATTTATATATTCTATGCATATACATACATATACACCTACACACACACACGTCTAATTGAGGAGAGATGATTCTTTCAAAAGGTGATGTCGCCTCCATGTTTGCAGGTCTCGAAACTGAGCTGGATTGAGAAAAAAATGGCTGCTACTCTGTTTGGAAAAATACCATCCTCAACTGTAGAAGAAGCTTTGCAAAATTTCCTTAAGGTATATTTTGTCTCTCTGTTATTTTAGTATCTAACTGGCTACTACCTGCACCAATCCCTCCTACCCTTCTCCGTGTGTAGATCTCGAACGGAAGCCCTGGGTTGAATCCTAGTTTTGGCGTGTCCAGACTGCTTCCCAGAGCAACTGGTTATGCCCTAGGTCCTAGGTGCACAGCCCTTGCTACCAAATCCAAGAGCAGCCCTCCAGGTCGTGTGAGTATGTGCAAAAGCATTCATGCCCTGATTATTAGACTTGTTCCCCAATACTCCCAATTAGCCTAATATAGAAGCAGTTTGATCTTGAAGAACTAAAAGATAGCAAAAGGGAGAGTTATATTTTATTTTTTTTTAAGATTTTTATCTATTTGACAGAGAAGAGACAGCAAGAAAGGAAACACAAGCAGGGGGAGTGGGAGAGGGAGAAGCAGGCTTCCCACAGAGCAGGGAGCCCGATGCGGGGCTCGATCCCAGGACCCTGGGATCATGACCTGAGCCCAAGGCAGCTGCTTAACGACTGAGCCACCCAGGCACCCCGGGAAAGTTATATTTTAAAAGCCATTCCATAAGTTGCAGATGGTTCTATGGAACATGGGGCATCAGACCAAACCAGTATTTTCATTCCTGTCTTAAAATGTATAATTGCTAGGCTAATAAAACTCTAAACAGTAATAATGTGTATGTGCATATAATCAACTTCCTGGTGGGCTAATCCCTTTATCTTTCTCTGGAAGCAATTATAGAATCTTATAGACACTAAGATGTCTTTTCTGTAATGCTATAGACAAAATCAGGCTCTAAACTGTATTTTCCAACATATTATACATGCTCATACTTTTTTGTTGTATCTTAGGGTTTGATTTTGTAGAACTGAGAGGGAATTTAAAGAACATATATTCTAAGAGTGGAAATAGGTTTCATTGCACTTTCCATTTCTGAACGAGTGAATGGTTAGTGGCTACCTGCAATGCCCTGTGGAAAAAATAATTGTTCTGAGATCAAGCATGAGCCCAATGGAAAAGATTGCACGGTATAAAAGCACAGGGGCCAGACATGTCTTATTTTTTATTTAACGTGATCTTTTTTATTTTATAAAAAGGAAATCAAGACCTCAGGAACTTAATTTTTTCTAGTGTCACACAACAGCAGACCGAAGATATGCATGTAGTCTAAGACTGTATCATCACCATTTCTTCACCTTTTATCTACCACTGAGAATTAGTTCTTTTATTTTACATTTTATAAGAATATAGATCATGGTATATTTAAGATAGTTCATAGATGGTGCTAAGCTAATTACGAAAAATGTCATTTGGACTTGAAACTCATTTCTTCATAGTATCAGAGTTATAAATGGGAGCTTAGGTTTTCAGGATGTTACACAGAAGTTCTTAAGGTGCTAATGTACCTGAAATATTAGCCAGATAAAATAAAAAATTATCAGAGGCCCAATATTGTAGAGGGAAGGATCACAACGGCTAGAACCAGACCACCTGGTTAAATCTCAGTTCTACTGCTTACCAACTGATTAATGTTGGACAAATTTCTTTTTTTTTTAATTTTATTTTATTATGTTATGTTAATAACACCCAGTGCTCCATTCAGTACATGCCCTCCTTAATACCCATCACCAGGCTAACCCATCCCCCCAACCCCACCCCTCTAAAACCCTCGTTTATTTCTCAGAATCCATAGTCTCTCGTAGTTCGTCTCCCCCTCTGGTTTCCCCCCCTTCATTTTTCCCTTCCTACTATCTTCTTTTTTTTTTTTAAACATATAATGTATCATTTGTTTCAGAGGTACAGGTCTGTGATTCATCAGTCTTTACACAATTCACAGCGCTCACCATAGCACATACCCTCCCCAATGTCCATCACCCAGCCACCCCATCCCTCCCATCCCCCCACCAATCTAGTAACCCAGTTTGTTTCCTGAGATTAAGAATTCCTCATATTAGTGAGATCATATGATACTTGTCTTTCTCTGATTGACTTGTTTTGCTTAGCATAATACCCTCTAGTTCCGTCCATGTCATTGCAAATGGCAAGATTTCGGGGTTTTTTGATGGCTGCATAATATTCCATTGTATATATATACCACATCTTCTTTATCCATTCATCTGTTGATGGACATCTTGACCCTTTCCATAGGTTGGATATTGTGGACATTGCTGCTATAAACATTGGGGTGCATGCACCCCTTCAGATCACTACATTTGTATCTTTGGGGTAAATACCCAGTAGAGCAATTGCCAGGTCGTAGGGTAGCTCTATTTTCAACTTTTTGAGGAACCTCCATATTGTTTTCCAGAGTGGCTACACCAGCTTGCATTCCCACCAACAGTGTAGGAGGGTTCCCCTTTCTCCGCATCCTCGCCAACATCTGTCATTTCCTGACTTGTTAATTTTAGCCATTCTGACTGGTGTGAGGTGGTATCTCATTGAGGTTTTGATTTAGATTTCCCTGATGCCGAGCGATGTTAAGCACTTTTTCATGTGTCTGTTGGCCATTTGGATGTCTTCTTTGCAGAAATGTGTGTTCCTATCTTCTGCCCATTTCTTGATTGGATTATTTGTTCTTTGGGTGTTGAGTTCGCTAAGTTCTTTATAGATTTTGGATACTAGCCCTTTATCTGATATGTCATTTGCAAATATCTTCTCCCATTCTGTTGGTTGTCTTTTGGTTTTGTGGACTGTTTCCTTTGCTGTGCAAAAGCTTTTTATCTTGATGAAGTCGCAGTAGTTCATTTTTGCCCTTGCTTCCCTTGCCTTTGGTGATATGTCTAGGAAGAAGTTGCTGCGGCTGAGGTCGAAGAGGTTGCTGCCTGTGTTCTCCTCAAGGATTTAGATGGATTCCTGTCTCACGTTTAGGTGTTTCATCCATTTTGAGTCTATTCTTGTGTGTGCTGTAAGGAAATGGTCCATTTTCATTCTTCTGCATGTGAATGTCCAATTTTCCCAACACCATTTGTTGAGGAGACTGTCTTTTTTCCATTGGACATTCTTTCCTGCTTTGTCGAAGATTAGTTGACCATAGAGTTGAGGGTCCATTTCTGGGCTCTCTATTCTGTTCCATTGATCTATGTGTCTGTTTTTGTGCCAGTACCATACTGTTTTGATGATGACAGCTTGGTAATAGAGCTTGAAGTCTGGAATTGTGATGCCACCAGCTTTGCTTTGCTTTTCTTTTTCAACATTCCTCTGGCTATTTGGGGTCTTTTCTGGTTCCATACAAACTTTAGGATTATTTGTTCCATTTCTTTGAAAAAAAGTGGATGTTATTTTGATAGGGATTGCATTAAATATGTAGATTGCTCTAGGTAGCATTGACATCTTCATGATATTTGTTCTTCCAATCCATGAGCATGGAATATTTTTCCATTTCTTTGTGTCTTCCCCAATGTCTTTCATGAGTATTCTATAGTTTCTGAGTACAGATTCTTTGCCTCTTTGGTTAGCTTTATTCCTAGGTATCTTATAGTTTGGGGTGCAATTGTAAATGGGATTGACTCTAATTTCTCTTTCTTCTGTCTTGTTGTTGGTGTATAGAAATGCAACTGATTTCTGTGCATTGATTTGATATCCTGCCACTTTACTGAATTTCTGTATGAGTTCTAGCAGTTTTGGTGTGGAGTCTTTTGGGTTTTCCGCATAAAGTATCATATCGTCTGCAAAGAGTGAGAGTTTGACTTCTCCTTTGCCGATTCGGATGCCTTTTGTTTCTTTTTGTTGTCTGATTGCTGAGGCTAGGACTTCTAATACTATGTTGAATAGCAGTGGTGATAGTGGACATCCCTGCCGTGTTCCTGACCTTAGGGGGAAAGCTCTCAGTTTTTCCCCACTGAGAGTGATATTCACTGTGGATTTTTCATAGATGGCTTTTATGATAATTGAGGTATATACCCTCTATCCCTACACTGTGAAGAGTTTTAATCAAGAAAGGATGCTGTACTTTGTCAAATGCTTTTTCTGCATCTATTGAGAGGATCATATAGTCCTTCTTCTTTCTTTTATTAATGTATCACATTGATTTGTGGATGTTGAACCAACCTTGCAGCCCAGGAATAAATCTCACTTGGTCATGGTGAATAATCCTTTTAATGTACTGTTGTATCCTATTGGCTAGTATTTTGGTGAGAATTTTCACATCCATGTTCATCGGGGATATTGGTCTGTAATTCTCCTTTTTGATGGGGTTTTTGTCTGGTTTGGGGATCAAGGTAATTCTGGCCTCATAAAATGAGTTTGGAAGTTTTCCTTCCATTTCTATTTTTTGGAACAGTTTCAGAAGAGTAGGTATTAATTCTTCTTTAAATGTTTGGTAGAATTCCCCTGGGAAGCCATCTGGCCCTGGGCTCTTGTTTATTGGGAGATTTTTGATGACTGCTTCAATTTCCTTAGTGGTTAGGGTCTGTTCAGGTTTTCTGTTTCTTCCTGGTTCAGTTTTGGCAGTTTACACATCTCTAGGAATGCATCCGTTTCTTCCAGATTATCTAATTGGCTGGCATATAGTTGCTCATAATATGTTCTTATAATTGTTTGTATTTCTTTGGTGTTGGTTGTGATCTCTCCTCTTTCATTCATGATTTTATTTATTTGGGTCGTTTCTCTTTTCTTTTTGATAAGTCTGGCCAGGGTTTTATCAATCTTGTTAATTCTTTCAAAGAACCAGCTCCTACTTGTGTTGATCTGTTCTACTGTTCTTTTGGTTTCTATTTCATTGATTTCTGCTCTGATCTTTATTATTTCTCTTCTCCTGCTGGGCTTAGGCTTTATTTGCTGTTCTTTCTCCAGCTCCTTTAGGTGTAGGGTTAGATTGTGTATTTGAGAGCTTTCTTGTTTCTTGAGAAAGGCTTGTATTGCTATATACTTTCCTCTTAGGACCGCCTTTGCTGCATCCCAAAGATTTTGAACAGTTGTGTTTTCATTTTCATTTGTTTCCGTGAATTTTTTTAATTTTTCTTGAATTTCCTGGTTGACCCATTCATTCTTTAGTAGGATGCTCTTTAGCCTCCATGTATTTGAGTTCTTTCCGACTTTCCTCTTGTGATTGAGTTCTAGTTTCAAAGCATTGTGGTCCGAAAATATGCAGGGAATGATGCCAATCTTTTGGTACCGGTCGGGACCTGATTTGTGACCTAGGGTGTGATCTATTCTGAAGAATGTTCCATGGGCACTAGAGAAGAATGTGTATTCTCTTGCTTTGGGACGGAATGTTCTGAATACATCTGTGAAGTCCATTTGGTCCAGTGTGTCATTTAAAGCCTTTATTTCCTTGTTGATCTTTTGCTTAGATGATCTGTCCATTTCAGTGAGGGGGGGTGTTAAAGCATTGGACAAGTTTCTTAACCTCTCTCTCAGTTTAATCAATGACATGGAGATAATAGTACCTGACTCATCGTGTTGTCAAGATTCAATAAGTTAATACAAGGAAATTGCTTAGTGAGTGCCCAGCACCTGGTAAGCTCAGTAAAAGCTCACAGAATTTTAACTCCATTAAATTGTAAACACGCTGGCAAACCATCTTGGGGACCTCATCATTCAGTCATAACTTAGATTCTTTCTGAAAATGCATTTTGTGGTGTTTGTTGAGGGAGTGTGAAGGCATCAAGAAAGCCTCCCCCTGTACTGGCTGCCACAGTTAAGAGTCCTGAGGAGCCCAGGGTGCTAAAGGTGAAGGCTGGGGAGTATGTAAGAAAACTGGGAGGTGGAGGGGAAGGAACTTGGCTCCCACACCCAAGGGGAGTCTGCAACCCTTGGTCCCAGCTGGAGGTTGTGGTTTTGGACCTCAGACTCCTATCCCCAACTCTTTCCCTCCAAAGAGGGCTCACAGGGGCCAGGAATGTGTCCCCAGGCCATCCAGCTCAGTTCTGTAGTGATCCGGAGCACTGGCTTTAGAATCAGTTTGAGACCTGAGCCTTTTCCTGTCTATATGACCTAGCCATGTTTCTTTATTTCTCCTAATCCTAAATTCTTCATCTGTAAAGCAGGCATAATAATCCCTACTTTATATGGTTTTTGTGAAGATACATAAAATAATACATGTAATTTTCTTAGCCCAGAGCCTAGCACATTAAGTACTCTAACTAAAAGTAAATGTTAGCTGCTATTATTTTGCTCTTATAACTGGTGAAATCTGATCTTCCACAGCATCACAGCATCTAGGGAGGTGGTTTTAGACCAGGAGTCATCTGTGAATCCCCTGTGGGAATTCTTTCAAACTATTGCATGCTTCCCACCTCATCCAAAATTCTGGCATGATTCCCTCCAGCAGTGGTTCTCAACTTTGGGTATTCATTAGCATCATCTGGAGAGCTTTAAAAAATGCCAGCCCTGGCCACCACCCAGACTAATTATTTCAGAATCTTTGAATATATTAAGGTATAGTTTATATACAATAAAATGCACCCATTTTAAGTATACAGTTCACTGAAGTTTGACAAATTTATATACTCATGTAAGAGTTTTTAAGATATAGAACATTTCAGCACCCTCAAGAGTTATCTTTGCCCCTTTGCTGTCAATTTCCTTCCCTCTGCCCCCGGCAATCACTGATCTGCTTTCTGTCACTATAGATTAGTTTAGCCTATTCTATAATTTTGTATAAATGGAATCATAGAGCTTGTATTTTATGTCTATCTGGCTTCCTTTGCTCAATGCAGTGTTTTGAGATTCACTCATTTTATTGGTGTATCAGCAGTTCCTTTTTATTGCCTAGTAATATTCCATTTCGTGGCTCTACCACAGTCTGCTTATGCATTTGCCTATTGGTAGACATTAGAGTTGTGTCCAGTGGGCTGTTGGGGCTATTATGAATAAAGCTTCTATGAACATTCATATGCAAGCTTTTATGTAGACATGTTGTAAATTTTCTTTGGTAAGTTACCTGGGAATGGACTTGGGTCATAAGGGAAGTATTTTAAAAGCTTGATCAGCATTTTTAAAGCTCTCAAAGCTCTTCCTGTGCAGCCCATGGCATGGTTGAGAGCCCAGTGCCTTGAGTGTGTGTAGTAGGATAAGAGTTGTAGTGATGTTGGGGGATCGGTGGCCCTGGTGTCCCCTTGCTGTTTGCAACATATGATCCCAGGATCCCCCTTAGTGGTTTTACCACCTGCAGAGCCTTCATCTGTGTCCTGATATGATGGAGGGCTGCTGCTTGAGGTTATGAGATGTTCTTAAAATAATCCCAGTTTATTCAGTAATGTTTATTAAGCACATACCTGGTAACACAGTGTCAAATGTAGGGAATAGAGAAATGATCAACACAGCTCCAGCCTCCAGGGAACTTGTACAGCCAGGACCAAGTTAACAACTACAATATTCTCCACCTTGTATTATTATAGAGTGTTCTAAGAGCCTAGCTAGAAACTGCTGCCTAACTAGAACATCCTACTGAGCAACACTACCTTCCTTGTAATTCAAGTAAGGCCTTTGGTAAAAAGTCAGAATCTGCTCCATTTTAGGAAGTTGGTATTATTAGTAGCCTATGTTCCTTTGGCCTTCTTTTTTTTAACCATGAAAACAAAAGGAGATGTTCTAATTTATAGTTATTATAGTTAATTAAACATAAGTGCTAAGGTGTGTATGCAGAATTAAAATGCCAACTTTAAAAAAATAAGAGGCTGCTTGTGCTCATATGTTGGAGCAAGTTTTCCAGACAGGATCTGAAAAGAGCTGGGCAACTGTTGGACATAGAAGAAGGTACAATTGAACAAAGTTTAATTGAGGTCTTCCTTATTAGAGTGATTTGAGAAATGCACTTAGTAGACTCAAAGAGTTAAGATGGAAATAACTGGACAAGAGAGAAGCAACAGAACCAGAATCCATCAGCACTGTGGATGGCTCTCTAGGCTTTTCAAGGCTCTGGCTAGGACCGGACTTGACAATGTCCTTCCATTTTTGACAGCCTTACAGTCTCAGTAACAGGTTCTTGGCCAGATCCACACACCGTTCATCTATTTGGTCCTAAAGAGTTACACCCAGTCTGGCTCCCCAGCCCAAGAGACTTTCTTCTCCTCCTCCTAGGACCCTTGCCTTTGGATTTTATAGAGAGTAAATGTCCTTTACCAACGATGTGCACTCCTCAGCACAGGAGTGCCTAGGTCTTAGATTTCCCTCCATTAGTATCCGTCTTTAAAATGTATGTATCCTTTTACTCAGCAATTCAATTTCTAGGAATCTCTTCTATAGACATAATCACACATGTGCAGAAGCATATAGGAGCAAATATATTCATCAGCCATTATTAGTAAGAGTAAAAAAATGTCTAATAGAGAATTCTTAATTTAATTATGGCATATGTGCAGTATGAAATATCGCTCTTAAGAACAATGAGGTAGATCTGTGTATGCTAACACAAAAATGTATCTGTGATATGTTGTGGGAAAAAAGTGTTTGACCAATAATGTAGAAATGGTCCCATATTAATTTTTTTTTCAAAAACGAATTTTTTTTATTTGTGTGTACTTGTTATAGATCTGGTGGGATGCATGTCAAACTGTTGATAGTGCTTACCCCTGAGAATGAGATTAGAACAAAGAAACTTACACTTTTTATTTTTGGAAATGTCCGTATTATTTGTATCTTGTAAAATAGGCATATCTTTGTAAATTTTTTAAAGTAACCTTCTTCTCTTGGGTTCTGCATCTCTCTGGGTTGGATTCCAGGGTCAGACTGGGAGCTTATATTTGCATAGGCCCTTACAACTGCAGAAGATGTCTCTGACTGAAGACTGACTTAGGTTCTAAGAAGTGCTTTCTAGTAGCAATGCCAGAAGCCTGAAAAAAATTCTTATTCACCAGAGATATGAAAGGGAACTGATGCATAAGAGTTTAGTAGATGAGGAGTAAAGTGCCTGCATAATACCCACTTATTAAAATCTGCAAATAGGTCTGCTACTTGGACTGGTTGTTTCACGGGTCAGTATTTGCTTTAAAAACACTTGATGCAATGGACTTCGGATATGATTCAATTCACAGGATGTGTTGAAATCCTAAGAAATCAAATATTAATGCAGTGGAGGCTGCTTGTCATGGGATACCAGTCAACCTCTCCTCATTTCCTAAATAGATTGTGAATTGGATAGGACTTGTCCTGGGAGACTGTATCACCAATTGTTTTTGTTCTTGAAAGGAAAAAAAGAGAAAGGATAGGTTGTATAAAGGAATCACAAAATCTCAAAGCATCGCATTGTTTCATAAGCTTTATGAACATAATAACAACTTGATTTTAATGGATAATCTCAAAAGCTCTATTTCCACTCAGAGGATACTTGAAGTGATAAAATGATTCTGATGTAACACAACCTAAATTTTTAGGACAATTTGGTTAGTATTTGATTTATTGAAATATGTCCTCTTTATTGGTGATGGTGGTGGTTGTTTTAATATTGTCCCATTATTCTCTTTTCTGTTTTCTCTTAAAATCAGGTTGAAGAACTACACCCTGGCTTTTCTAAGTCCAATTACTTGTTCTTGGCCAAGGTGAGGAAGACCACTGTTTTGGGTTTTTTTTTTTAATATTTTATTTATTGAGGCGCCTGGGTGGCTCAGATGGTGGAGCACCTACCTTCGGTTCAGGTCGTGATATCCAGGTCTTGGGATTGAGCCCCAAGTCAGGCTCCCAGCTTAGCGGGGAGCCTGCTTCTCCCTCTCCTTCTGCCTCTCCCCCTGCTTGTATGCTCCCTCTGTCTCTGTCTCTCTCTCAAATGAATAAATAAAATCTTTAAAAATATATATATTTTATTTATTTGTTTATTGGAGAAAGAGAGAGAGAGTGCAAGCGGAGTTAGGGGCAGAGGGAGAGAGAGAATCTCAAGCCGACTCTGCACTGAGCGGGGAGCCCGACTTGGGGCCCAATCCCATGACCCTGAGATCATGATTTGAGCCAAAACCAAGAGTCAGATGGTTAACCAACTGAGCCACCCAGGCGCCCCAGGAAGACCACTCTTTTAAGATCACTTTGAGTCCATTACATAAAAATGTGCTTGCCTTTCATATTGACTATTTTTCATTTCTAGTGTTACATCGATCTTGAACAAACAGATGACGCTATGAAGTTTTGTAATTTGGCCGTGTTGCTTCCTTGTGTTACCAAAGAGGTAAGTCCCAACAGTGACAATGAGGGCTGTTATTTTATTAGTCCTTTTCTGGCTTCAAAGATAGCTTAGAAACATCTGGATTTTTCTCCCATACTAAAACTTTGGATTTAACATGTAGTATGAAGTTTTTAAAATTGCTGCAGGTAACCCTTCACCAGCAGACTCCCTGTATCTTTCAGGGACACACAAATCATGGGCTAGCAGTTAAAACATCCTAATGCCTGTTAAGGGATTAGGCTAAGCCCCACTGGGGGAAGGAAGGAGGACAGCCTAATTCTGGGGAGCCGATGACGATGAAGCTGTGATAGGCAGCAGACAAGTAGGCAAGCTGCCCACCTTGGAGCGAGAGGACTGTCCACATGGCTGCCATCTTCAGGCCTAGCTCACAGCAGGGGAGGGCTCTCCTCTAGCCGGAAGAAGATTAAAAATAACGTATTAGCATTTTCTCAGTCTTTGAACACCTACCACTAATGAAGAAGAAACTATCGTATTGCTTCTTGCCCTTTTGTTCACTAATTCAGGGTTCTGGATGTACTCTGTTTTAGGAATTTCAGAGTTAACAGTCCAGCCTGTGTTCCTGTGAGCCATATATTGGTACTGTGGGAACAAAAGAAAATTAATAAATGTTTTCCTTCTCCCTTCTCATACCACCAAACATTATCATCCTCTGAATCACAGCTAAAAGAAATGCCTCAAGGGGCACCTAGGTGGCTCAGTCGGTTAAGCCTCCGACTCTTGATCTCAGCTCAGGTCTTGATCTCAGGGTCATGAGTTCAAGCCCCACGTTGGGCTCTGCACTGGGTATGGAGTCTACATTTAAAAAAAAGAAAAAGAAAACAAATGCTGCCTCAGAAATAAGCATCCCTCTTCTTCTCTGTTGGAGCCACACTGGCTCTGATGTTTGTGATCTCAAATATAAGCATGTAAGGCATACCCACAGCCCTCTATAGCCTAGAATATAAGTTATATATCCAAATAACTATAGCTCAGGGTGGAAAGCCTGAAGTGCTAAGAGAGGTACAAATAATTGGTTATGGAAATAGTGAAGATGGAAATTATTTTCACCTAGAAGAGATCAAGTAGCATCAGAGGTGGGTTTTGATGACGTGGAGGTGTGAGTGAAGCACACCACAGATCATGAACAAAGGCACGGGGGTGGAAAAGCGAAGATTTGTGTGCTTGGAGGGAAGGGGTTGTTCAGGACAGTCATGGGAAATATGGATGATGGAGAAGGGGAACAAGACCTTCCTGGAGCTTCAGGGTTCGGGGAGGCCCACGTCTGTAGACAGGGCTGGCCAGCCTCCCCCGGGCCTTCCCAGCAACCGCCGGCAGTAGGTCTCGGATGGCTTCTAGGTTCGGGCTTTCCTCTGAGGTCGGTTGTCCTTCTCCCTCAGGTTCCTCGGTGGGTTCTGTTGGTCAGTTCTGAGCACAACAGCACGGGCTCAGTAGCGGCACTTCCCCACAGAAGACACTTGATGTAATTTTGGGGGCAGAAAAACAGATTTTGTCCCTCTGGCTGCCTGCTCCATATCGGTGATGGGGACCCTACCATCTTTCCCATCTCTCCTGAATGATGTCACTTAGGTTACATGCTGTCATCTTAAACTGAGTGTCTATGCCTTCTTATTAGAATTTACGATTAGACTGCAGTATGATAATGAAGTCTAATACCTGGTGTGACATGCAAATATTCGTGCATGAAATTTAGAGCTCTCGTACAAGGGCTAAATATCGATGACCCCCAAGGTTTGGCCCTTGGTCCCGCAGTCTCCCCTCTCCTCTCATCTTCCCTCCTCCCTACCCCACAAGCCTGTTGTCCGTGACGTCAAATGCTATCTCCCTGCCAGGAGTCCTCAAATTTGTATCTCTAGACCTCCCTTCTGAGCTCTAGACCTGATTGTCCACCTTCCCATGTGCCATCTCTACCTGGATGTTTTGCAGACATCTCAAACTTAACTTGTCATCAGGCCTTTGGGTCTGTTCCTCTCCATCCTCTCATCTACTAAACAGCACGTTCATTCATCAGTTAGGAACGCTGGGAATCATCCTTGACCCCTCCTTCTACCTCAGCCCCCACCCCAGACACCCACCCAGCCCCCAAGTTCTCAGGATTCCTCTTCTAAAACATGCCATGAGCCACCCAACAGCCCTCTCGTTCCACTGCCACCACTCCAAACAGGAAACCACCCAAGTTCACCCAAACTGCGCTGTGGGAGCCTCCCACTGGTCCCACCACTTTCTTCCTCCCTCTGGGTCATTCTTGGCTCTCCATAGCAGCCGAGGCAACAGATTAAACAAGCCTCAATCTGTTCCTTCCGTACTTGGAAGTCCTAAATGTGTAGCATGTCCTTCACGGCTCTGATGCATGTTCTCCACTCTCCTCACCTCTGCACCATGCTCTTCCCTGCCTCACACCGTCGGGCCCTGTTGTTGCCTCTTCCGGAAACACTCCCACCCAAACCCTCCACCCCCTTCACCACCTTTATTCCCACTCACCCTTTAAGCCTCACCACAAATGTCATTTCCTTAGGAAAGACTTCCTTGACGCTCCCAGGCAAGAAAGTACTTTGTGCTTTTCCTTCAAGTCATTGAGCAGGGCTGTGGTTGCCTTGTTATGTGTGTGATTGTTCCACAAGAGTCTCGGCTAGGTGGGTCTCGTCCACGCCTCTATTCCTAGTGCCAGGTGCCATGCCTGGCATATAATAAGCACTCGTGAGTCCTGGTAGGAAGAATCAGAAGACTAATAGCATGCAAATAAAACTGCTAGTGCTAATAGTGCTAATAAGTAGGACTGGACATGAATGTAACTAAGAGAGCTGGGCCCTATGGAAATACTTATATAATAAGCAAAATAGCATTAATAAATATTTCCCATGTTACTTTTTTTTTTTCCCAGTGATGTTTCCGTTTGTATTTTCTAGGTTTGGTTTTGTTTTGTTTTTTTCAAGGAGTTAAATGTACTGTCAGGAATATCTCCATTTCTTTTTCAATTAGCAAATAAGCTGAGGAGAGTTATCTGTAGTACCCCTTATCTCTGTAAGGTTTTCCTGATGGAAATATACCCCATTAGTGATTCTGCTGACCCGTCTATTAATTTCCAAAATGTCCAGCAGAGCCACTCATTACAGTGACGGCCACCGGGCCATCGGCGTGCTCTCCCTCACGTGAACTTGCCTGACCTGTGTGCTGCTTTCTCGTGGTGCTTGTAACCGCTTCCTGGCCATGTAGTCACTTGTGACCTGTCTTCCGTCCCTTTCAGGGAGCGCTAACTCATCACACTGCACTCAGTATTGGGAATGTCAGCCCTTGGGCTCTGGGGCCCAGATTCATGCATGTGAGCAGCTTTACATTCCCGGAACTTGAAACTACAGTATTTTATTATTCATGTGGACTTTTCTTGACCCCAGGGAGGTAATAGGTCCTGAGAAACATTCCATTTAAAAAAAAACGGGATTTCTATGTCTAAGGCAGTGTGAGAATGCTTGATGAATGAAGTCATGACCACACAGCAGCCTAGGAGTTCTTTGCCTGGGGGAAGGGTCCAAGTGACTGACCTGGACTATGCTGCAAATGCGCCGTGCGCGAAGCAGCATGTAGTATTGTGTGTTACAACGAGGGGTGCGCTAGTCTGGTAAAGGAACAGACTGTTTTTAAACGGCTGTAATATTTTGAAGTGACATTAATTGCTCTTGTAAGACAAAGTCTTATAGGACAGTAAATAAAATATATGAGAAACAACTCCAGGAAGAAGAGGACACCGGAAGCACTCAAAATAAAGATGACTGTGTCCTGGCTCACAAGTTCTTGGAAGTTACCTGTTGTTTAAAATCCTGGGCTGTATCTCCATGCTGTTACATAGATTAAGAATCATCCCTCTTATTAGTCACCACTCTTAGCAATAAAATCCTAAGCCTGCTTTTAATTTTCTGTCTTAATTAAGACCTCATATTTGATTTTCTTCATTAAGAGATTGGTTTTTCAGGTAAGTTTAGATAAAACAGAATTAGTCTACAGATGTTCACCCTGCTTTCCTGTTATGGGAACACAACAGCTCAGAGTGATGAGTGGGTTACTTACTGAAACCCAGCAATGTTGTTCAGCATCCCATTTTTTAGCAATTCTGATTTACCTATTTATTTCTGGTTTGGATTTATTTATTATAGATTAACTCGTCTGTGCCATCCATGCCTGGAGAATTCATTCTTCCTGGTACATTTAAAAAGTAATAAGGCCACTAAAGGATGGACAGACTTTTCTCACTCTCTGTGAACAGATATTTTCATGAGCTGCCGGCCAGGGGTGCTACTCTGTTTACAACCCCCTATTTCTACTCTTTTGGCTCTTCTCTTGTATTGATTGGCATTCCAAAACATATTATTCGTTAAGCTTTCTTGATATGTAATGGCCTTGGTTGTATTTTTTAAGTTGATCTTTAAAAACACCTTAAAGAAATTTCTTAGACCTCCTTTTAATAATTTTCTTAAAATAACTGATGACACAGCATCGGTTTGGAATCAGTCATTCTTAAGCAGTACCCAGTCTAGTCAAGTTGATGTTTGATAATCATTAGCCAAATGCCAGGAGTATAACAATGTAATATAAGTAAATCTCTCTCTTACTTATCCAAAGTCTTCAGCAGAGTATTGATATATTTTCCCATATGTGCTTCTTTCTTATGGCACTTGTAATCTCTTCCTGGCATGATAGTTATTTGTGACATGTCTTCTGTCCCTTTCAGGGAGCTCTAAGCTCATCACACTGCACTTGTTATTGAGAGTATCAGCCCTTGGGCTCTGGGGCCTAGATTCATGCATGTGAACAACTTTACATTCCCGGAATTTGAAACTACAGTGTTTTACGGAGAGAAAGTGTGCTGTCTCAGCAGAAAGGTTTGGATAGTTTGAATCTGGGGAAGAAAGGAATAACCTGAACTCAGAACCATAACCCAAGTCCTCAGAAGATGACATTTACACAAATATGGCCAATATATTGAGTGCTTGAAACATAATGAAGACTTCAGAATTAATCAGATAGCTGTGCAGTTGACATGCTGTGAAGGAAAAAACTTATATGCAGGCAAGTATCATACCATGTGAGTATAACTCATGTGGCAAAGTCTTCAACTGGAGATTATCACTGAAGGGTCAGCATAGAATTCATATGTAAAAAAATGAATTGATGGATGGATGTAGGCAGACATTTAGCAGCCTCCTCTCTCCTCCTTAGTAGCAGAGATTTCACACTGGAGAGGAGCTCTTTTGAATATAATGAGAATGGGGAAATAGCCACAGCTCAACTGACTCAGTCTGTGGTAGTGGAGAGAATCCCTACAAATGTAACGAATGTGGCAAACTCTTCAGCCAGAAAGCTAACTTTTGTTTATTTGAGAGAATTCACACAGAAGAACCCTTTGCTTGTAATCAGTGTGGAAATGCCTCCAGTAACAACTTATCCTTTAAACAGCATGAGTGAATTCACACTGCAGAGAAACTATATGAATGTCATCTATGTGGTAAAGCCCTTAGCTGATGCTCTAACCTTAGCCATCATGAGAACACACACTGGAGAGAAACCCTATACATTAATGAATGTAGAAGAACCTTCAGCCTCAGCTTTAACCTTTACTCAAGAGTTCCCACAGGGGAGGCACCCTACAGCCTTCAGCCAAAGCTCAAGCCTTGGAAGGCACAGAACACTGAGCAAAACAAGAAGGAGAACAGCAAGTCTCTACTAGGAGGAGGAAGCCATTTGAGAAATACCAGATAATTCTAGTTAGAGAAGCAATCCAATGAAATAAATAGGAGAAACCCTTTTGTCACAGAGTAACATTCCAGGACATGTGAGGTTTCTCACTGTATTAAACACTCTCAGTGTCATGAATGAAGGAAAGTCTTCAGTGACCAGGCATACCTTAGTCAGCCTTCAAGTTCTCACACTGGGGAGTCTCTCAGGCTTCAAGTCCAAGTAGAAATGCCTTTATCTGCAGCTTATTGAAGAAAACTCAGACTGGAGAACAAAACTATCAAGAACCCTTAGAATACAAGTCAACATATAATTTAGACTTTTGGCAAATGACATGGCACTGAAAATAATGTAGTGTAAAAATGCAGAACTGTAATGCATTCTTGGAAATGTAGAATGCAGAATTTGGTAAAATGTAATAGGCAGTAAGATCATCCTTCCTGAGTGGATTAATAAAAGTTGTTGATAAAAAATCTGATACATTGGTCTTTGTCTTCAAAAAATCATGAAACGTTATGCTGAGTAATCAGGCCATTTTCCCTTTGTTACGTCACTGCTGAAAGTTGATCAGTTTCTGTTCTTTATGCAGCTCCAAAAGTATTTACAAAGACTGTTCAATCAGAAAACAACTTTTAATGTAACTGAAAAATGTAGAACACAAAATAATGTGTTCTAATGATTATATTAGTGTTGAAATATGTATCTACATGGCAAAGGTGAATGGAAACATGGACAAATAAACACACACTATGTGATTCAGATATCTCAGGTGATACTGATGTGAGTGGTATACATGCCCTACTTTATAAGACACTAAAAACAAACAAGGGCTTGAAATTGAAAAATATGCCTAAAAGCATTGAATCAAATGTATAATATGGCTGAAATGTTGAGTCCTAGAGGGAGAAAAGAGGTTGAAAGCCTTGTATACCTTTTTCTTAAAGGCAAGGGGAAACTCTTACAGGGTCTTAAGCAACAAGTAACACAGTGAGATTTGGGGGAGGGCACACTAGCTACCGTGTGGAGACTGACGTGGCTTGGAGGGGAGAATTGGAAGAAGGAGTACCATTTAGGTAACTCCTGCAATAACACAGACATGAGCCAGTGACCCAGACTAAGATGATGGCAGTGAGGAGAGCACAGATTTAACAGATTTGTGGGTGGTAGTCTCTACAAGACTTAGACATTGAATTTCCAGGAGATAAAGGACTCAAGAATGAGATCTCGGTTTCCGGCTTTAGAAACTGACCAGGATAGAGGGAGGTACCCTTTAAGGATCCAGGGAACGTTGGAGAACCAGACTTGGTAGAGAAGGTGAGTTCAGTTATGGACCTTTTGGGTTTGTGTCTGTGAGGTTTTCCAATCCATAAAGTGACTGTATATTTGTCAAATAACTGATGTCTGAAGCCACAAGATGGCAGAGACCACCCAGTAAAGTGAGAGTATTCAAAAGCCAGTGGGGCAAGAATCACCTCTGAGAAACCCCAACAGAAGGGAAGGGGAGGAGGAAAAGGAAGCTCCAGTGATATGGAAAGAAGCGGCCACAGGAGACGGGGCCTCAGAAGCCAAAGGATGGTGGCAGCGGTCACCTTGGTCAGATACTCTGCAGGAGTCAGGACGGAGTGAGCTGAACTGAATGATGTCTATGTTATTGGTGATCTTCACCCAGACTGTTGTAGTGGAGCGAGAGAAGCAGAGACTGTGCAGAGCATCAGAGGTGAGAAAATGCAGTCAGCGCATGTCGGCGCCCTTCCAGGAATTTGCCACAGAGGGAGAAAGGGTTTTGATCTTTTGCTAAGAGGGTAGTTGGATGTAGAACCTAATGTGGGTAGAAAGTAAGTCAAAGCAGGAGAAAGCTGATAGAGAACAGTAAGGAAAAAATCACTTTATAGACCCGTAGAAGTTGAAGAATTGGTGTGATTGGATAACTGACCCGAAAAGGTAGGCAGTTGTGTTCAGGGAGCAGGCTGCCTGTGTCAGAGGTGGAGCAGTTCCAGGTCATGACACAGCCCAGGGTGTGCTCACGGGGCGGGGGGGGGGGGGGGGTTGCGGAAGGACATCGGAGCCCCTGGGACGTTGGGACCCACAGGCTGTGGGGACAAGGGTGTCTCCAGCAGTGACGGCAGACGGTGTGGAGAGAGACCCAGGTGCCGAAATCATAAAAAAATAAACGTAAAAGGAGAGTGATCAGGAGTTTAACAGCTAGAAGAAACGGTAGAGGGCCATTATCTTCTACCATTGGCTCCGACCCCTCCACCAGTAATAGCCCCCATCCTCTCCTCTTCCCCCCAAAATATATTCTCTCAGCAGATGCATTACCAGTTATGCAAAAGTGACTTCAAAAGAAGTCTACTAGCAGGAGTGCTAGGGAGCTCTGTAGAAACGTCTGAGAAAAAGGGGGAAAGTGGGAGGTTGAGTCAAGGAGGAGAATTCAAAGGAGGGCAGTATTGGGGGGAATACCAACGAGGATTGATCGTGTAAAGGATGTATATTTTGGATGATAACAGAGGAAAGCATAATTGGAGGTGGTGGTTTTAGCTGGCTTTTTGGGCTAAAAAGCTCTGCCAGTGCCCTCTGTGCATAAAAACATAAATAAATAGAATGCTTGGATGGAAGCCCTGGGAAAGAGGTGAAATGGGAGGCATGTGGTGTGAGTATGTGAGTGTGAGTGTGTGGGTGTGCACATTTGCTGCCAGTTGAATTGGGGTGGAGGTTAGATGAACTCTTCTTTGTGGTGCGTGAGTATAAATATTGCTATACTGTGATCTTAATTTTGAATCTTTCATTATGGCTTATGCATTTTCATTACTTTAGGCATCTAATTGAAATAACTCTCTCATTGATGTCATTATTCTGTAAGAAATTGATTCCTAGAAATTGATTGATGGGAAATGTAACTGTACATTCTAGCATCAAGCCACTGATAGTAGGCATCATCCATCTCGGGACTTCTAGGTGCCAGGCACTCAGCTGGCCATGGGGTTACAAAGACAAACATGGATTACAGCTTGTTTTTTATAAGTTCTTTTAAATAACACATTAGTACCCTAAATTCATTAATCACATTTTCTCACAACCTTCAAAAAATATTGATTTGATAGAAGTAGACATCCTACTGACCAGACACTACATTATGATTAAAACTATTGAAGAACTTCCAGATTTAAAAAAAAAAAATCTAATAGCTACTTCCAAATATTACTTTGTTCATTTTTCCTCATCTGTTTATTTTCATTTGTTGCATCCCTTAAATTCTTTCTGATTAGGTGCTTAATACATATTTGGGTTTTTTTTTAAGATTTTATTTATTTGAGAGAGAGAGAAAGAGCACGAGCAGGTGGGAAAGGCAGAGGGAGAAAGACTCCCTGCTGAGCGTGGAGTCCGATGGAAGACTCCATCCCAGGACCCGAGATCATGACCTGAGCTTAACCAACTGAGCCACCCAGGCACCTCTCAATAAATGTTTGTTAAATGCAAAAGTGTAGAGGAGTACCCTGCCATCTGAATTTATCGCCACAGTTTCTAACCACCACACTTGTTTTAAAGAAATTACGATACACGTGCAGTACTAGAGAAAAAAATTACATGGTTTTTCATCTTAAACTACTTGATAAAGTCAATAATGAAAGGTATATTTGCTAGTCTGGATCATGCAGTGGAATCTCAGATTTCTTCAAATCCTGCTGCTAGGGCTGGGACTTCTTCCACATGGTACAGTTGAAGAAGAAAATAGTGTTCACCATTAACACGCTAGTGAGATCGAGCGTGTCTGCTTACACGAAAGGCTCTCTTCTCCCTGTCTTCCCACCACTCTAGACCTGGTGAGGGAAACCTTGGAAATAGCTCTCCACATGGCATGTATTTTCAGAGATCTGAATCATGCCTGAATCTAAGAAATCTGTAATTTCTTTGTAATGGTCCTTCAGAAAGTATCACCTCACTCCACCGAAGATTGCTTCAAAGTACCCAGAGTAGCAGGATCAATGTGTGAAATTTCATTGTGTACTTGTTTTTTCTTTATAGGATAAAGATGCACAGAAAGAAGTGAAAAAAATAAGCACTTCCTTGAAGAGGTAAATAAAAGAACTTACTCTTCAACAAATCAGATGTGGTCTACTAAACTTTAAACTAATCCAAGTTGTGTTTTTTTAATTATCTTTTTTTCTTTTTTGATGTAAGGGTAGTATGCTCAGATTTGAAGGTAAAACCACGTTTCTGCAGAATGCATTCCAATAGTAGCACAACAAAACTGATCATGTTGTTGGGAGAAATCAAGTTCCCATAATGTCAGTACAAAATTATCTTTAAACATGTATGATTTATATTTTTTCTATCAATAAACTATAGTCTTCAGAGTATGTCTTTAAAGAAAATATTTAAATCAATTCAATAAAGTGAACTCTAGTGTTTTATTGCTGCTTCAATGGAGACTTTACAAAACAAAATTTCATTAATGTGGATAAAAAATGGGAAAAATGGGCAAAGGTCATGAACAAGTTGTTGACAGAAGAGGAAAAACGAAAGAGTAAACACATGGTAACTAGTCATCGGAAATGTGAATAAAATTACAGTAAGATACTGTTTTGTCATCAAATTAGCAAGGATTGTTTTCTTCCAAGAGATGTTCAGTGCTGGTAATGATACCACAAGTTGGAACATTCTCAACCACAGCTGGTGAAAGGGTATTTTGACACAAACATCTGGTAAAATGTATCCTAAGCCTCAAAAATGTATTAATTCTTGAATCTTGTAATGTCATTTCAGGGGAATAGTCCTAAGGAGAAAAGGACAATTATTTATGCACAAATGTTTATAACAGCATTGTTTATTATAGCAGAACACTATGTCCAACAATAAAAAAGCAGTTAACCGTATTAGAATCTAACCATATTAGAATATAACTACAACAGGATATTATTTTGACACTGAAAAAATTACCGAAATTGTGCAGTGCACAAGGCATCTTAAGTGCAAGTACAAAGCAAAATAGTGTATACATATCATCTCAGGTATATGAAAATGTGTGCAGAAAAACATCAATTGGAAAGACACTAATCTGGTAGCAGTTCATATTCTGTGGAGTTGCGTTTTATTTCTTCTATTTCCCAGTTTTTAATAAACAAAGGATTTTTTTCATTGCACTTAGCTAGCAGTGATCTGTAAAGATTTCCTCACTACACTTTAACCAGCCTCATCCTGGAAATCAGATCAAAACTTGAAATTCCTCCTTGCTATCCCAAATATATGCATACATTTATACACTCAAGATTTCAAGCCCTGACCTAGAGATGCCATTTAATCAAGCTGAGCGAGTTCCTCTCTCTTTTACACCGACCCATGGAGATACCTGAATCGGTTCAACTGATTCTTGCCCAAACTCTGACACCTGGTCTAATGTTGACAGCGCTGGCTGGAAGGGACAGG